CATACAGAGAGAGAGGGCTGTCGGCGGCGGGGGGGGGGGGGGGGGAGAGGATGCTTTTGTAGACAGTGCTGTGTAATGTCACACAAATAGGCACGCTCATAGCTCTTTCGCACACAATGTTTTGCCGACAACGAATAATCCCAGCATGCAACTTTATGTAGGCAAGGAACAGCTTTGCTAATGAAAACTGAGCTTAAGTACATCTAACCGCAGTTGTTCACATCCTTCCTGCCTTTTCCGGCTTCTCCTCTCCCCCCCCTTTTCAAATTTTACTGTGCCTCTCGTTTCCTCCCTCCTTGTCTTGTTGGGTTTCCCTTTCAAAACCAAAGAGCAGAGAGTCTTTGTAGAGTCTACAGAAATTAAATCCAAGTCATTATTGGCAAAATATACGACATAGATTCTGGACTTAAACCAGGGGCGCCTGAATGGGTCTCTTGGGTCTCTTGGCCCAACCTACCTCACAGGATTGTTGTGAAAATAACACAACACCAGTTTGGTGTAGTGGTTAAGTGCGCAGACTCTAATCTGGGAGAACCAGGTTTGATTCCCCACTCCGCTACATGCAGCTGCTGGTGTGACTTTGGGTGAGTTACAAGCTCTTTCAGAGCTGTTCTCTCATGAGTAGTTCTCAAAAGAGCTCTCTCAGCCCCACCTAACTCACAGGGTGTCTGTTGTGGGAAAGGGAGGGGAAAGGAGTTTGTAAGCCGCTCTGAGGCGCCTTTGGGTAGTGAATGACGGGGTATAAATCCAATCTCCCCTTCTCTTCTTCCTCTCCTTGGAAGGAGGAGGAGGAGGAGATAAAATAAATAAATCTTGCATTTACTCCAATTATTCTATGATCAGTTTTGATGCATGCCTTCCCTCCTGTTATTAAGGTGGACAGAAAGCAGAAGAGTGTTTTATTATCTTTAAACTGAAATGGTGCTGCTGCATCCAGTTTCAGTTTCCCTTTGGGACCCAAATCCAGGCTGTGGACTGGGTGGGGGATGAATACCGAGAATCTGAAGGCTGGGTCCAAACAGCCCCTTTAGATGGCCCAAGGGGACTCGGGCCATGGGCTTTCTTGCTTCCCTCCCGCACATTGTTATGCTCCTGAAAGACCCCACAGTTCCAGATCCTGGTCTGCGTTCCTAGTGCTTTGTTTCCTAGTATTTAGACAGACCAGGGCTCTTTTTGTAGAAAAAGCCCATGAGGAACTCATTAGCATAATAGGCCACACCCAACAGCAGAAACTCATTAGCATATTAGGCCACACCCCTGACAGGACAGCTCATTAGCACATTAGGCCACACCCCCGTGTTACCAGAAGTGTGGTTATCCAGCCACACCCACCTTTTGCTTCTTATTCTGTTTACCTTGTTTGTTGTCAAAACCCAGGGCCTTTTTTTGTAGCAGGAACTCCTTTGCATGTTAGGCCACACACCCCTAATGTAGCCAATCCTAATGAGTTTCTGCTATTGGGTGTGGCCTGTTATGCTAATGAGTTCTTGCTGGGCGTGGCCAACTTGGGAGCCAGCCGGAACTCCGTTCCTGTGCGTTCCTGCCCCAAAATAGCCCTGGACAGACTAAATGCCCAAACTGGAAACCGTAGAGAGCTCAAAACTTGGAAGTTGATTTCAGTACCAGGGCACAATACCAAGTTTGAGCAGAAATTCTTCAGTTTTTCCAGTGTCTAAGTGGGGGCAAGCTGACTTCGTACCAGTCCTGAGAGGGTTTGGATTGGGTTTTTTTGCCAGCATTGCCCCCTCCTTTTGGGACATAATTTTTGTAACATAATTTAGGACTACAATCTTCCAGAACTGGTTTAAGGTTCCCAGCTTCAGGTTGGGAAATACCGGGAGATTTGGGGGGCGGAGCCCGGGGAGGGACTTCCGTGGCGTATAATGCCGAAGAGTGCACCTTCCAAAGTGGCTATTTTCTCCAAGGGAACTGATCTCCATGGCCTGGAGATCAGTTGTGATAGCGGGAGATCTCCAGCCACCACCTGGAGATTGTATAAATATAAATACACTCCGTGAATGAATTACGAACATAGGCAGAAAAAATTATATTGTATGAAACAATTCAAACGTTTTGAAATCTTTGTTAAAGAACCCTTATATATATATTTTCACAGAGCTAGGAACAAAAAGTACTTGATACAAAGGGAGAATACAATTAGAGTCCACAATTCCTTTGTATAAAAAACTTCAGGAGTGCAGGAGGGGAAGCCGGACCGATGAGTTTGGCGGGCAGCTGAGCTGGCAACTAGCCGGGCAAGCCGTCTGGGAAGCCTGTGACAAGAGCAGCTAAAAAGTTTAGAAGCGAGTCGGGCGGTAGCTTTTTTAAGCCATGAGTTCCTTGGAGTGAAAGCCTTTCTAGAGGTAATCCCATTGGCCTCCGCAGTGCTGTTGGGCAGGCATGGAAAACAGGAGGCTGGCAGCCCCCTCTACTGGTGAACTGTGGACTGTCATGGTGGTGCGGAGAGGGTCTGGCCACTACCTCCTGGCACGCACCCCCCAGTTTCAGATTTCTGGCTTTGTACCGGTGGCTTCAAGGAGCTGCGGTGGCTCAAGTGGTTAAGATGCTGAACTGCAGGCTGTGGAAGGTCAGTAGTTCAGCAGTTCGAGACCCAGGGTGCCAACCTAGCAGTTCAAAAGCAAGACATTGCAAGTAGATAAATAGGTACCGCTTTGGTGGGAAGGTAACAGCGTTCCGTGCGCCTTGGTGTTTAGTCATGCCGGCCACATGACCACGGAAACGTCTTCGGACAGCGCTGGCTCTTCGGCTTTGAAACAGAGATGAGCACCGCAACCCTAGAGTCGGATTCGACTGGCTTTCGAGCAAGGGAACCTTTACCTTTACTTTACAGGTGGCTTCGGTTCTGCTGTATCAGCCTAAATCCTCAGTGCCTAATGCCTGGACAGAGCCAGTTTGGTGTAGTGGTTAAGTACGCGGACTCTAATCTGGGAGAACTGGGTTTGATTCCCCACTCCTCCACTCGCAGCTACTGGATGACCTTGGGCAAGCCATAGTTCTGATAAGAGCTGTTCTTAAAAAAGAGCAGTTTCTGTCAGCGCTCCCTCAGCCACATTTCCTCACAGGGTGTCTGTTGTTGGAAGGAGAAAGGAAAGGCATTTGCAAGCCACTCGGAGACTTCGAGTGAACGGTAGGGTATAAATCCAATCTCCTCCTAATGAAACTGGTGGCTTCTTTTTCCCTGCAGGTCTGTGGTGAGAGGAACCACTTCGAGAAGCTGATGGAATATTTCCGAAATGAAGACAGCAACATAGATTTCATGGTAATATAAGGAAGAAGAAGGGAGCATACAGATGGGGTTCTTTCTCCCACAATCACTGGGAATTTTCCAGTGCACATCTGTACATGCACGTGAATGCATGTGGGGGCACTGAAGCCTTGAATTATTTATTACAGTCAAAGGCCAGCACAAAAACAGATATAGTACAAGAAATACGTTGTCGAAGGCTTTCACGGCTTGAGTCCATTAGTTGTTCTAGATTTTCCGGGCTGTATGGCCGTGGTCTTGGCATTGTAGGACCTGGCGTTTCTCCAGCAGCTGTGACCTTGACACAGAGAGTACTCCATCTTTCTGTGTTATACCTCTGAGGATGCCAGTCACAGCTGCTGGCAAAACGACAGGTCCTACGATGTCAATGCCACGGCCATACAGCCCGGAAAATCTAGAACAACTAAAGTACAAGAAATGTTTACATTAAAATGTTACTTAGACGATAATTAAAATAACAAATATAATCCACACAGAAATCCGTTGCAACCAGGCATGCCATCAATTTTTCCTCTGTTCTGATCTTGTGCCTTCCCCAGTTGCCTGACCAACTGGTATCTCTATGCCAGATGAAGTTTTCTCCCATTGAATTTCTGCCTGGGGGGGCCAGCCAAAACCACAGGAGCCCTGCCAGGGGGAGAAACGGTGACACTCTTCAGCAGTGTGTACTAGTGGCAGGTATGAGGGTGGTGGATTCAGACTCCTTTTGCTGCAAAGAAGCCCTCAGTCAACATCTTTTCCCTGAACGCTGTTAAGCCTGTCAACTTTGTCATCCTCATATCTGTATGTAACAAACTCAGGCAAGAGGACTCGTGAAGACCAGGAAACAAACTCGTGGAATGAGAACCTGTTAAATTTTGTCTCTCTGCCAGAGTAGCCCATAAGCACACAAAGCCAGGCCAAAAACACCTGGAACAGGAGGCAGTGAAATCCTTCAAAATGGACGGCTTCAAAAGGGAATTAGATAAGCATATGGAGCAGAGGTCCATCCGTGGCTATTAGCCACAAGGTATAGATAGGGGCTCTGGGGCAAGGGATGCTCTGTCTTCTTGGTGCTTGGGGGGGGGGTCAACAGTGGGAGGGCTCCTAGTGTCCTGGCCCCACTGGTGGACCTCCTGATGGCACCTGGTATTTCTGGCCACTGTGTGACCCAGAGTGTTGGACTGGATGGGCCATTGGCCTGATCCAACATTGGCTTCTCTTCGGTTCTTATGTCTGGGGCAAGGGATGCTCTGTATTCTTGGTGCTTGGGGGGGGCAACAGTGGGAGGGCTTCTAGTGTCCTGGCCCCACTGCTGGACCTCCTGATGGCCCCTGGTCTTTTTGGCCACTGTGTGACACAGAGTGTTGGACTGGATGGGCCTTTGGCCTGATCCAACATTGGCGTCTCTTATGTTCTTATGTTCCTCACGTCCTCTTCTTCTCTTTCTCCAGGTGGCTTGCATGCAGTTCATCAACATTGTGGTCCATTCTGTGGAGAACATGAACTTCCGCGTCTTCTTGCAATATGAGTTCACGCAGCTGGGGCTGGATGACTACCTCGAGGTGAGGAGGATGTCTCTGACTCCTTCTTGTGTGGGTAGAGAATGGATCCATGTCCAGCTAGTGGTCAAATGATTCTTCATTTCTACAACGCCTTTCATGCCCTTCACATCTGTGGGGGTGCACATGTGTGAGCAAGATGTGGTACATCCATAACTGTCGTTTAAGCTGGCATGGAGAGTTCTGTGATGTGGCCTTCAGCTGGCAAAAGGGTGATTGGCTGACTGATTGATATGGAATTTTATGAGAATTCTAAGCCATCCTGAGTATCACACAGTAGACATTTCCAAAGACTATAATAACAGCAGGGAGAGCTGAGGTAGGGTTGGAGGGGGCATAATGTAGTCACCTTACTGAAGCTAAGTGAGCTGTGGAACAGATTGCCTCTGGAGGTGGTGGGTGCTCGTTCGCTGGACGTTTCCAAGCGGAGGCTGGATGACCATCTTCCGGGTATGTTGTAGGGCTATCTTTTGGCTGTGCTCCTGCAGAGTGCAGGGGGTTGGACTAGATGACCTGCAAGGTCCCTTCCAACTCTAATATTCTATGATTCTAAGCAAAGTCAAGTCACGTAACTGGCTGGGTGGGAGACCTCCTGAGAGTCCCACGGGTGCCACCCTGAATCTCATGATGGAAGTGGTATAGAAATGTAATAAGTAAATAAACGAGAGCTTTCTCTCTGTGTGTGAAGTCCTGTCAAGTCACTTCCAACTTATGGTGAGCCCATGAATTAATGTCTTCCAAAACATCTTACGGTTAACAGCCTTGCTCTGGTCTTGCAGAGCGAGGGCCTTTGTGGCTTCCTTATTGAGTCAGCCCATCTCACGCTGGGTCTCTTTTCCTGCTGCCTCCAGCTTTTCCTAGCATTATGGTGTTTTCCAGTGACTCTTGTCTTCTCCTAAGAGCGAGGTCCTCAAATAGTTCAGTCCCTAACTTCTCCCGTATTGTTCCGTCCATCGAGCCGCCACCGGCAGCACATGGTTGTATGTATCGATGGTAGAGCATCTGCTTTGCACGCACAAGGGCCCAGGCCCAATCCCCAACAACCAATGTTCCCTCTAAGCTGTGGAGTCTTGTGAGCAAAAATTCTACTTTGTGAGCTACTGGCATTAAAAGTTGTGAGCAAGCAATTTGGCTACTGCATAAATTAGTTTGCTCTGGAGCCATCCCTTCCTGAGCTAAGACAAAAATGGGTGAGCCGGAGGCTAAAAAACTGTGAGCTAGCTCACACTAACTCAGCTTAGAGGGAACACTGCCAACAACTACAGGGTGGGGTTTTTTTGAAAAGAAATATCAGGGAATGTGTGCTGTGAAGGACCTCTTCCTGAGACCCCGGAGAGCCACCGCCAGTCAGAGTCGACGCGACTGACCTTGGTAGGCCAAGGTTCAGACGTGGTAGAAGGCAGCTTCAGGTGTACAGGATTTGGGGAACACTTTCCCTCCTGGTGAACCGGCAGAAACAGGAAGGGGTGCTACCCCTCCCCCCCCCCACGCCCACTACCACTGATCGGGATATCAAAGAATGCAAAGGTCTGTATAGTATATTATTTATTTATTTATTCAATTTGTAACCCACTCTCTCTCCTCACCAGAGGAGTCGGTGCACTTCTACACAAACGTTAGAACCTGTAAATTTAAATAAATGCAAAACAGACAGATTCTAATCAAAATTCAACCAGTCATCTGCTCTGGAACAAATCTGGACAACTGGGCAGCTCACCCATTCTCTTGCTTAAGAAGAAGAGAAGAGATTGGATTTATACCCTTGCCCTTCGCTCCGAGTCTCAGAGCGGCTTACAAACTCCTTCCCCTTCACTACCCAAAGGTGTCTTAGAGCAGCTTACAAACTCCCCACAACAGACACCCTGTGAGGTAGGTGGGGCTGGGAGAGCTCTTTCCAGAACTGCCCTTTCAAGGACAGCTTGTCAGAACTGTGGCTTGCCCAAGGTCATCCAGCCAGGTGCAAGTGGAGGAGTGGGGAATCATACCCGGTTCTCCCAGATTAGAATCCACACACTTAACCACTACACAAAACTGGTTAATTAAATGCTGCACAAAACAAAGCAACCTTGCATGCCCTATGGAATCCTAATAGATAACTGCTGGGCCATGTTGGATCAGGCCAACAGCTCATCCAATCCAACATGCTGTGTTACATAGTGGCCAAAACCCAGGTGCCATCAGGAGGTCCACTGGTGGGGTCAGAACTCCAGAGGCCCTCCCACGCCCCCCAAGCACCAAGAATACAGAGCATCTCTGCCCCAGACATCATGTTCCATCTATACTTTGTGGTGTCTAGAGAGCAGGGGCAGCCACTGAGAAGGCCCCTGCCCTAGTGGATGACCAATGGGCTATTCGTGGACCAGGCACCTGCAGGAGGCCCCACGATGAAGACCGAAGGGGGCAATGGGAGGGTCATATCGGGAGATATTACTTGTGTGATAAAATTTGCTGCAAGCTATAAGGTCTGCACACTCCGAACTCAAGTTCCAATCCTTGCACAGCCCTAAAGCTCTTGAGCCAGTCATTGTGTCTCATCTTAACTGTCTTTGTAAGGTGATTGCGAGAACAAAATCCCCACACGTGTTGCCCCCAAACTGTCAAGGAAAACTGGTGTTTCAAATGTGATAGGTCATGATGACAAATGTCCCCTTGTTATTCACGAATCTCTTTCAATGCTAGGAATTGATCAACCAGTTTCCTAGGTGGGTTGGGAGGGGGGTTGCCCCCAGAGGCACATCCCAGTAGCCAAACAGACTGCTGAGTAGCCACAAATCCCGGTACCTGCCTTCTAATATCCGTGACCTCCCAAACCAAAAAGAGGCCTCTTCCGTCCTGCCTCTTCACGTTCAGCTTGTCTCCCCTTCCTGACTCCACAGAAGCTGCGCTATTCGGAGAGCGACAAGCTTCAGGTGCAGATCCAAGCCTACCTGGACAACATCTTTGACGTCAGTGCTCTGCTGGAAGATACCGAAACCAAGAATGCCGTCCTTGAGCACGTGGAGGACCTGCAGGAGGAAGTGGGACAGGTGAGGGAGCTGGCCAAGCAGTCTCCCTTGGGAACCTGAAACAGGACAAGTGGGGTGTTGCAGAGGTGGATGGATGGATGGATGGATGGATGGATGGATGGATGGATGGATGGAGAAAAATGCTCTGATCCAGGTCTGTCTGTCTATCTATGTAGTACTGTTCATACAGCTATCACCTTAAGCAGAAATTAGAACCAAAAAATATTTTAAAAGACCTTACTCAGTATTACTTCTCTTATATTTGATTATCGTGCCTATGAATTTTACCACTGAGAGTGTGACATGATCATTTGTATCCAATAGCAGCCATGACACCTGGGCTTGCCCATTTAGCAATTCCATATCTTTAAGTAAAGGGGTGACTAAATCAGCCCTCAACTCATCGACTATAGGGCACTCCATAATCATATGTTCAATGGTTTCGATTTTATCATATGAGCATCTGCATGTTCTATTAGAGTATGATACTCTATTTATTATATCTCTATTAGAGTATGATACTCTGTATATCTCCAAAACCACCAAGGGAAGAAAGTTCATTCTTGCCAAAGTAAAAGCTCTTTTTAGTTTTGGGACTGTCAATTGATAAAACTATTTCGGCAGTTGCATTGGGAAGGCAATTCCCAAATGGAGTGTCAAACATATCCTCGGTGCGCTAATAGACGTATTTGTAACTTCCAACTTCCTTACACATTCTTTAATTTGTATTTTAATGTCTGCAGTTTCTGTATTTTTAATCATATCATATGTTATTCCTAGGCATTTTCTTTTCTTTTCCAATAGTTGATCCCATTGGCTATAATATTTATCTGCCTGAATAAGCCCAAGTAGAGTAGATCCTCCCTTAAATTTTAAAACCTTTACTTTTAAGATAAATGATTTAATCCAAGCCCTAGCTTCCATCGATAATTCGCCGAGTTCCGCTTTCAGTGCTATGCCCAAGACACATCTAGGAGTAGCCAATAAGCGTCAGAAAAAGTCATACTGGATGGAATCCATTTTTTCAGAAGCATCCTGAATCCAAATTTCCGCACCCTACAGGAATTGGTTTAGAACCGTAGCACTGAATACCTTTAAGGCCGAGGGGACAAATTCACCTTCCGTCCTAGTCCTTTGTGTGGTTCACTTTCAGCACTGCACTTCTCTTTGCAGCTTTCAGAGAAACTCCAGGAGGCGGAGAACGAGTCCATGGCCAAGATCGCAGAGCTGGAAAAGCAGTTGTGCCAGGCACGGCATGAGCTGGAGACCCTGAGGGTGCGGACGACCGAGGACGAGCAGGTGCGATGGCTTAGGATGCTGGACTGTGGTGGACTGTGGGTGGGATGCATCCCAAAAGAGTATGAGCAGAGCCCTGCTGGATCAGACACGGGTGGGACCGTCTGGTACAACATCCCATTTCCAATACTGGCTAGCTAAATGCTTCCTGAAATGTCACACGACCAAGGCTTTCAGTACTTAGGGATTGACAGATTGATTTGTTTAAACAGTTTGGTTGTGCCTTCCCTGCTGCCTATCCTTCAGGGTGGATTGAAACGTGAAAAGAAAACAGCAACATGCAGTTGCAATTAAAATCCAGTGAAGGAAGCAAAAAAATAAATAAATTGCAAGAGGCAGTAAAAACAAATTGGCAGTCAAATTCACAGATGTGTAATGAGGATCTAACCAGGTGCCGAAAAGATATTCTGGAGAGGACATTCCATAAGCAGGGAGCTACCACAGATGTTTGGTCTTCTTGTGGGAGACCGATAGATCTGAGTGAGGAACAGTGTTGTTGCTTTTTAATACGTAAAGGTAAAGGTTCCCTTGCTCGAAAGCCAGTCGAGTCCAACTCTAGGGTTGCGGTGCTCATTTCCGTTTCCAAGCCGAAGAGCCAGCGCTGTCCAAAGACATTTCCGTGGTCATGTGGCCAGCATGACTAAACACCAAGGCGCACGGAACGCTGTTCCCTTCCCACCAAAGTGGTACCTGTTTATCTACTTGCAATTTCTTGCTTTCGAACTGCTAGGTTGGCAGGAGCTGGAACTAGAGCACCCGGGTCTCGAACTGCTGAACTACTGATCTTCCACAGCCTGCAGTTCAGCATCTTAACCACTTGAGCCACCGCGTAGCCAGACACAAAACCTGCAGTTACAATTATGTAGTTTGTGCGAGTGCCATTGAATCCCCAGTTCTGAGAATACCCCCCCCCCACGTTCATATCTAGGTGCCATTAAGTTGCAACCACCTGATGATGACCCCAGCAAGGGCTTTCAAGGCAAATGAGGAGCAGAGGTGGTTTGCCATTGCCTGCCTCTGCACAGTCTGTCTCAGTGGCCTCCCATCCAAGTCCCTACCCTGCTTAGCTTCCGAGATCTGACAAGATCGGGCTTTACCATCCCGCCTGCGTGTTCTGAGCTGTCAAGTTGCTTCTAACATATGGCAACCCTATGAATTGTTAGATGCACTGGAATGCTATAGCCAGGAATCTCCATCATGTAGCAGAGTGCACGAGGCTTACACACAGTGGCATCCTCTCGATACTGTGTGTGCTAGCAAAGTTACACGGAGCCTTTTGTCAGTTTCAAACTAATAAGGAACTACATTCTAGATAGTATAGTTTGAGAGATAGGGATAGAATCTAATCTAACTAGCTATGATGGATGCAGATGCAGAATGGGGAGAAAGATAGGTAGATGGGGAAAGAGGAGTGAAAGGAAGAAAGAAAAAAAGGAAGGAAGGAGGTAGAAAGAAGAAAATAGGTGGGGAGAGAGGAGAGAAAGAAAAATAGGGGCCCCAGCAGCTTCCCTCCCCAGGCACCAGTGGCGGGAGGCCCATGAAGAAGCCTTGGGCAGCGTTCCCAGCCAAAGGCCATTGGGGGGAAAGGCGGACGCATGGCCTGCCTTCCTGGACCCCTTTCCCAGCCTGAGAGGGGGCCCTGCACCCTCTCCCATGGCACTGGCTGCAAGAGGCCCATGGAGGTGCCCCAAGCCGCACTCCCGGCAGAAGGCCATTGGGGGGGTGGGAGGCGAACGTGGAGCCTTGGCATCCTGAGCCACCATCCCTGCCAGAGAAAGTGGAGGCAGGGGTGACTCACCTGATGTGGCAGGGCAGGGCAGTAGGTCTTGGGCGGCGGGGCTGGCTCCCGAGTCCCAGCTCGCACCACCCAACCAGCACAGGAAGGAAGGCTCTTCAAAGCCCTCATGGAGTCATACCATAGAAGGAGGGCTGGCGGGTGGATGAGTGGGAGGGCAGGGCCACCCAGGGGGAGGAAGCACCCCTCTGCTGAGGTAAAAAGCTATGCACTAAGGGGTGAAGAACTGCGCGCTTGCAGAGGTTGGCACACCTTAGCGGGAACACTGGTGCACTTGCGTGCGCACAAGGAAAATACACGCTAATGACAATCAGATACCACTGATTGTATTGAAAATGTACTTCAAAACAGCCCTGTTCACAGAGCACAGTTCCCCAGGAAGTTCTTCTCATGCACAACTCTAGATAGGCACCGAGATTTCTGTGTTGAAACTGGATTCCCAGGTGCACAGGGGACCAATCTGGATTAGGATGGTGGAAAATGGGGGTTTAAACCTTTTCCCTTTACACCATTTTCCTGATGCAAAACCGGAACCATTATTTCCCTGGTTGGGACAACTTGGGTCGTAGCTGCCAATAAATGTACATGTCCCCGATGGACAGAGACCAGCTCCCGATGCCTGTTCCAGGTTGGGGACATGGCACGAGAGAGGGGTGTAAACTCCCTCTTCCCCGAGGACTATGGTCCTGATCCAAATCAGACCCCTGTGGATCCAAGGACTGTAGGTTTCAACAGGGAACTTCCAGCGAAAGTCTGCTTGACAGGAACTGAGGCAGGCCTAGAAATAGTATGTTTAGCGCAGCCTAACCTCCAAAGTGGAATTGTTTGAATCTGGAGAATCTCACACTTTATTCTTAAACACAGAAGAATACAATTTCTACCCTGAATAGAGCTCAGAGACCAGAATTTGCTCGAACTGAGTTAGGCACTGCATCACAGATCTCATGCTTTTTTCCCGTAACTGTCCCTTGCAGAACAAGAAAGAGCCAGTCGGCAAACCAAGCAGTTCACGGAGCCCCTCCTTGCTACAAATGCAGCAGCCTCTAGGTACGAAAGAGCACTTGCAGCACCCGGCCTTACAGCACAACCTGGAGGAGCTTGAGGACAAAGGGCTGATCCGTGTCCTGCGTGGGCCAGACGGGGACGTCATTGTGGGCATCGAGGTCATCCCCATCACCATGGAGACCACAGCTGTCCCATCAATTATGATTGATGTACCTTCATCAACCAGCACAGGTATCGTCCAGTGGCTTCTTTGGCCATCTTGCATGTGGCCTCTTGCTGGTCTCTACCCTTTCAAGGAGCAAGTGGGGGAATCACATATTTGAATTTTTCCCTGCTTCAAAATAATTCAGTATATACTCACAGGAATCAGGAGAAGACTAGGACGTTCTCTCTAACAATTATGGGTCTGCAAACACCCCCCCCCCCCAATTTGGGTCCATTGGACCCGAAAAACATCAGTATTGCCAGGGCTTTTTTGGTAGAAAAAGCCCAGCAGGAACTCATTAGCATAATAGGCCCCACCCAACAGCAGAAACTCATTAGCATATTAGACCACACCCCTGACAGCATCTATTAGGCCACCCCCCCTGGGCTTGCCCAGGCGCCCCACGGCTGCAGGGCGCCTGGGCACGCTGGCCCTTGGACAGGCTGGGGAAGGTATGGGAAGGCATTTAAATGCCTCCCCGATCCTTCCAGGGCCCCCCCTGGCTCGCCCACCTCAGAGTTGCCGGGGGAGGGTCGCTTTCCAGGCCTTTTGTAGCCAAGCACACAGAGGTTTTGGCTGTAGTGGGCGTGGCCAACTCGGAAGCCAGCTGGAACTCCGTTCCTGTGCGTTCCTGCCCCAAAATAGCCCTGAGTATTCCTGAATAGCCATTTTATTTTATCTTATTTTATCTTATTTTATTTTATTTATTTGGGTTTATATCCCGCCTCTCTGCAAGCGGGCTCAGGGCAGGTTCCAGCAGTATAAAATACAATACAATTAAAACCAGATTAAGAACACAATATAAAATCCGGGTAAATATTCAGGAAACCCGAATTTATTTGGCTTCGTTATACCCTCTGGGAACTGTCCTCATAGGGTTTAATGGAGAAGGGATTTGAAGTTTAAATGCTTGCTGAGTGGACTCGCCGAGCCATGCTGCCGCAAGAGACCCGGGAGACGGTGGTGGCTCAGATGTGGGGTTGTGGGATAGTGGCCAGCTTGGACAGGTGGGGCTGTAAGGGGGAGAAGCAAAAAGAGGCAGTGGGGAAGGGGGGATTTAACAGAGGTTGTGGGGGGTAGTGCTGGTAAGCCAAACCTTGGCAGTGGTAGAGGAAGGACAGGAGGTTTGGGCAGTGAAAGAACGGGGTCTCCAGCACCCTGGGAAGGTGCTTGGGGGGGGGGAGAAGGTGCAATGAAGGGGGCTTGCTCACAGCAGCAGTGCAAGGGGGGGGGTCAGGAAGCGGACCCCTGGATGTTAGAGAGAGTGTGCCCAGGGGGTTCCTTTGGTTTACTCAAGTTGGGACTGCAACACCCGAGGAAGGCGGGGTTTGACCCAGTGAAAGGAAGTGATCCACAAGAAAAAAGGGGTATGGGGGATTTGACGGAGGTTGCGGGGGTCATACTGGCTGGCAGACCTTTGGCAGTGGTAGAGGAAGAGCAGCAAGCACACAGGGAACACGGCTAAGTTAGATAAACACAGAAAACACTGTGTTGAAATAATAAACACAATATTCACATGCACTTATAGCTAAATATATTTGCTTTTTATACACAACATCAACTCTAGTGTATTGCAAACACTTTCAAATGACAACATCACATTTCAAACACTTTCAAACTAAGTTGTATAACATGAAGAGTCCCACTGTCTTCTTAGCTTGCTAGCCGAATCACCTCATGGGGAAAATACATCTACTAGGCTTGCTGGCTAAGCTGAATCATCACAGTGAGAAATACAAGCTGCCTGCTAGCTTTACCCGATGGATCATCACTAGGGCAAATGTACAGTAGGTTGCTGCATTGTTCGGTGCAAATGACTGTACGTTGGTATTTATCCTCCATCAGGAAGAAGACAGTTGGACTCTTCATGTTATATAGCTTAGTTTGAAAGTGTTTGAAATGTGATGTTGTCGTTTGAAAGTGTTTGCAATACACTAGAGTTGATGTTGTGTATAAAAAGCAAATATATTTAGCTATAAGTACATGTGAATATTGTGTTTATTATTTCAACACGGTGTTTTCTGTGTTTATCTAGTGGTAGAGGAAGGTCAGGAGGTGTGGGCAGTGAAAAATGGAGTTTCCAGCACCCTGGGAAGGTGCTTTTGCAGGGAGGAGAAGGTGAATAGGTGGAGCATGCTTGCAGCAACAGCAAGGGGGGGGGTCGAGGTCGGGAAGCGGACCCCTGGATGTTAGAGAGGGTGCCCAGGCTCACCGTTTGGATACCCAGGTGGGACTGCAGCACCCTGTGTAGGTGGGGTTTGACCCAGGGAAAGGAAGTGATCCCCCAGGAGAAAGTAGTCTGGGCGGATTTGATGTGGCTCTGGGGGTCATGCCAGAGTCAACTCAGCAGAGTTCCCTCTAGGGAAGCATTTTGACATGGAGCCCTTTTTACAGCCCAGCAAGAGTTGTGAATGCTTTTGACAATTTTTCAGCCTAGGGACAGTTGCAGAGAAAATGTCTACCCACCGCACAGGAATTATTTCTGTATACAAAACAGAGCCACTTATTTTACTTCAATTTTTTTTTATAAGTATTTTTTTATTTTTAACTTTAAACTTTATATACAACAGTACAACATTTATTACATATATTTACATCATGCGTTAATTGTCTTTTCTTAACCTTCAATGCCCCTTTAGAAATATAACAGATCATTATAATAACTATTGTTTGGAATAACTTCTTCTTCTGCTAGATAGTTCACTACCGGGAACCATATTGCTTGAAACGATTTTTGATGAGAGACTATTTTGCCATAAACAAAGTGTTCCCAGATTTTATTTTGCCAACATTGGAGAGTTGGTTGATTTTTGTTCTTCCAGTACTGGGTGAGAGTAATTCGTGCAATTGCTAATAACGTTGCTATTAGTGTTTTTGTATCATTAATTTTTTTAAAAAAATTAAACTTCAAAAAAAACATATAATACATAGCAGGCAGAACAAATTACATTACATTGTGTAAAACATATGCTCACAAACTGAGATAGGCAAGTGACACCAAAACAACTGTGTGCTGAAATACCCGCAAGAGTAAATATACCAAAAGAGACTTCAGCAAAGTGAAACACATATGTAATCAGCAATAAATCTGTACATAAAATCCATCATAGGAAATATAGAAGTCTACAGAATGCATTCTGTAGACTTCTATATTTCCTATGATGGATTTTATGTACAGATTTATTGCTGATTACATATGTGTTTCACTTTGCTGAAGTCTCTTTTGGTATATTTACTCTTGCGGGTATTTCAGCACACAGTTGCTTTGCTGTTACTTGCCATTTTGTATTGTGTGCTGCATTGTTTTGTTATTTGTCACAAACTGAGATAAAAAGAGAACATATTGCCAAAGGTACAACTTATCCATTATACTTGGTATTTCCTCTTGTTGAGATAAATGTTCAAAGATAGGAAACCAAACAGAAACAAAATCAGACTTGGAAGACGGTGTATATGTTTTGTTCATATTATCTGTTATTTTTGCCATTGTGTACATATTCCATAATTTGGAATGCCAATTCTGTCTACTAAGGGCCAATGGTGTTTTCCCATGTTGCTGCGATTGTATTTTTAGCTATTCGATCCAGTTTCCATTATCCAACATTTTAAAATAATATGTTCTTATTTTACTTTGTAAAAGACTGGCGAATTTGCTTTTTCCCTTCTCCTTTTTTTCCTGGGAGGTCCCAGGCCCATGAGAACTGCAGGTTCCCACTGGACTGTTTGGAGAGGCAATGGCCATTTCTCTCGCTTTCCTTTCCAGATCTTCCTTCCCCGTCCCCAGTTCCAGCTGCAGCTCTGGAAATTCCACCACACCCACCCTTGCCTTTCACCAAAGACTCCAGCATCACGGTTCTCCCCGACACGCTACAGGATGGTCCGGCTCCTCCACCGCCACCGCCGCCCCTTCCTGGAGCTGGTGAACCTCCACCGGCTCCTCCGCTTCCTGTTGTGGGAACTGCACCCCCTCCTCCACCACCACCACCCCTCCTCCCAGCAGAAGGCCCGGTTCCTCCACCTCCTCCACCCCTGCCTATGACTGAAGGGGTGAGCCTACCTGTAGTTACTTCAGGTAAGTTGAATTTGTTATGAGCCGTTCTTAAGAGGGGATGAAATTCAGTTCTGTGGGGGAAAACCTCTTTTAAGTAAATTAGGCATGCTTATGTTTATTGCATAATAGGAGCTGAGGTGGCTCAAGTGGTTAAGACGCTGAACTGCAGGCTGCGGAAGGTCAGCAGTTCAGCAGTTCGAGACCCAGGGGTGCCGCATGACAGAGCGAGCTCCCGTCTCTAGTTCCTGCTCCTGCCAACCTAGCAGTTCGAAAGCAAGAAATTGCAAGTAGATAAATAGGTACCACTTTGGTGGGAAGGGAACAGCGTTCCGTGCGCCTTGGTGTTAAGTCATGCCGGCCACGGAAACATCTTCAGACAGCGCTGGCTCTTCGGCTTTGAAACGGAGATGAGCACCGCAACCCTAGAGTCGGACTCGCCTGGCTTTCGAGCAAGGGAACCTTTACCTTTATGTTTATTGCACGCATTGCTGAACATTGTGTAATTTTGCACTCCCCCCACCCCCCATTCCCCCGGTTCTCCTGGGCTTGCGCTGCCCCTGCCCTGTGGAAGGCAAAGCATGGGCCCAGGAGGTAATGGAAGGTACCTTTGCTGGGGCAACAAAATACTTTGTATTGGCTGCGCCTCACAGAATATATATCTGGAATAGGGAAAAGTCATCTTAACTGCAATCTGTGCTTCCTCGTGGTGGCATACATGATGGGGGAAGAGATTATTCCATTTTAATCTCTGCACAACCCTGTGAGGTAGGTCAGGATAGGAATATAACTAGAAGCCATTTTTCACCAGGCCCATTCACTCCAACACTCTGTGTCGCACCGTGGTCAAAACCCAGGGCCATCATGAGGTTTACCAGCAGAGCCAGAACATCAGAAGCCCTCCCACTTTTGCCCCCACCCAAGCACCAAGAAGACAGAGCATCCCTGCCCCAGACAGAGTGTTCCATCTATACCTTGTGGCTAACAGCCACTGATGGACCTGTGCCCCATATGTTTATCTAATCCCCTCTTGAAGCTGTCCATGCTTATAGCTGCCACCACTTCCTGCGGCAGTGAATTCCACACGTTAACTACTCTTTGTGTGAATAAGCACTTCCTTTTATCTGTTCTAAACCTACTGCTCATTAATTTCAGTGAGTGCTCACAAGTTCTAATATTGTGAGAAAGGGAGAAAAGGACTTCTTCTTTTTTTTTTTTAATACTTTATTTCATTTTCCAAATTAAAACAAACAAATCAGATGCTTGACACTTCATAACAGATGAGCATACAGCTATTACTCTTTTTCCTGCAACTTCCAGTGCTACGCTATTCTCCTTTACTATTTAACTAACAGTAAGTATACTACCTCTTCTTTCCATAACACACCAAACACAGTTATATTAACCCGTCCTATTTCGTGTCCAAATGTAAAGTTTCTTCCAAGTATTTACAAAAATCAAATCATCTTTCCCCCTTAGTATACAGGATAGTTTGTCCATTTCAGCCACATCACATATCTTCTGTATAACTTCATTCTTTTCTGGTATTTTACCCTCTTTCCAGTACTTTGCGTACAAGATCCTAGCGGCCGTGAAACAGTGAATCAAAATTTTTTTTTTCGGCTTTCTCATACGACTCCGGAATCATATTTAGGATACACATTTCGAGTTCAAGAGGGATTTGTTTCCCCATTATTTCGCCCAGCATTTTAATGATCATCATCCAGTATTCCTTTGCTTTACAACAGTTCCACCACATATGTAGGTAGGTGCCCACATTCTGCTTACATTTCCAACATATGTTGGAGGTCGCTTTAGAAATCTTGGCTAACTTAACTGGGAACATATACCATCTCAAGGCAACTTTATAAATATTTTCTTTGAAGGAAATTGCCCTAGTAATCTTTATGTTAGTATCCCATATTTTTAACCAATTAGCAATTCCTATATCATAACCTAAATCCTTATTCCAAGCCGCCATACTAGATCTTATCACCTCTTCTTGCATTTTAGTTTCCAGTAAGTAGCCATATATATTTTTTATCATGCGCCCTCCCCCCTTAATCCAGATTTTGTCCAATTCTGTGGGTTTGTTATAAAAATCATATTTCCGATCCTCCTTATATCTCGACTGTAATTGTATTGCTTGTAACCAGGATAGTTCCTTATTTTGCTCTTTTAGACTTTCAATTGGTTTAAGATTATTTTTATCGTCTAATAACTCTTCATAACATAGTTTCTTTTGATAATCATACAAGTTTGGGAAGACAAAAGCCTCAATAGGAGATATCCATTTGGGTGTTTTTAAGTAATACTGCTGTTTCAATTCCTTCCAAATTTTAAATAATAAACCTCTTATATAGTGCTTCTCAAATGCATTTTTCCCCTTATCATACCAAATGGTGGCGTGCCACCCCATAGCAAGGTCATGGCCCTCCAGTTTAAGAAGCCTATTATTTGACAGTGTCATCCAATCCTTTAACCATACCATGGCCGAAGCTTTATAGTATAGTTGCCAGTCAGGCAAACCTAGACCACCTTTCAGTGTCTTTTCTTGCATGGTTTTCAGTTTAAATCTAGGTTTCCTGGCTTGCCAGATGAATTTTGAGACCATTGTGCTTAGTTCTTTAAAGGTTTTTTGGTTCTTAATAACTGGTATTACTTGAAACAAAAACATAAGTTTAGGGAGGATACACATTTTAATAGTTGCCACCCTGCCCATCAAAGATAGCTGTAGGTCTTTCCATTTTTCTAAATCAGTTTTTATCTCCGTCAAGACTCTCTTATAATTGTTATCGAATAGAGCACTGCATTTATTTGTTAACCAGATTCCTAAATGTTTAACTTTTTTGCATATTATGAATCCAGATTTCTTTGCTAACAAATCCTCTGTTTCCTTTGAACAGTTTTTTGTTAGTATTTTAGATTTCTGTAAATTAATTTTCAGACCTGCTACCTGTTCATATATACGAAGGGTGTTTAATAAGTACTCAATTGAATCTATGGGTTCTTCTAAAATGAAAACTAAGTCGTCGGCATATGCCTGTAATTTAAACTGCTCTCCTTTTACCTTCAACCCTTTAATTTGGGGGTCCGCTCTCACTATGTTGTTTAAGACTTCCATCGTAAATATAAAAAGTAGTGGAGATAGCGGACACCCCTGCCTGGTGCCCTTTTGTATTGTGAACTTCGATGTAGAGTCGCCATTAACAATTATTCTAGCTTCTTGGTACTGATAGATCGCCCGTATCATTTGCAAAAACCCTTCTCCGCACTCCCAGTGCATCAAGTTTCTTTTTATAAACTCCCAACTGACATTATCAAATGCCTTCTCGGCGTCAATGAATATGAGAGCCATCTGTCTACCATAATTAGATTCATAGAACTCTAGTACATTAAGAATAGTCCTCACATTATCTCTAAGATGCCTTTGCGGTAGGAATCCCGCTTGGTCAGAATGAACTGTTTGTTGTAACACTTTCTTAAATCTACTAGCTATAATTGAGGCATAAATCTTATAATCAGTATTAAGCAACGAAATGGGCCTATAGTTCTTTATAGATGTCAAGTCTGTTTCTTTCTTTGGCAGTAGTGTAATCAAGGCTTCCTTCCATGTTTCAGGAAACCTATTCTTTTCCAATATATTTTGAATTGTCAGTTGTAAGGGTATGTCTATTTCATTTGCAAATGTTCGATAAAACTCGGCAGGTAGTCCATCCGTCCCAGGTGCCTTTTTTATTTTTAATTTCTTAATAACTTCTGTTATTTCGCATACCGTAATACGTTCATTTAACAAGTTCCTTTGTTCTTGTGTAAATTTCTTTTTGTTATACTTGTCCAAGAAAGCATCAATTTCCTGTGGGCTTTCACTTTTTTGCTCATATAGTTGTTTATAATATTTTCCCGCAATTTCTTTAAGATCCTTTAAACTAAAACAGTTCTGACCTTGTTCATCCTTTAGCATTTTTATAGTTCTTTCCTCTTTTTCTTTCCTCAGCTGGTAAGACATCCATCTAGTAGGTTTGTTTGCTTGTTCAAAGTAATTTTGTCTCGCATAGTTTATTTTTGTAGTTATTTCCTGTAACAGCAAACAGTTAAGTTGATGTTGTAGTCCTATTATATTTAGTCTTAGTTGTTTAGAACTAGGGGTCTTCTTCAAATTTTGTTCGTATTTTTGTATTTGGCCTACAATTTGTTTATATTTTTCTTCTTTCTGTTTTTTTAACCAAATTTCCTGTCTGATCAGTCTTCCCCTAGCAAATGCCTTAAAAGCATCCCATACCGTATCCACATTTGTTTCTGGAATCAAATTTAGTTTAAAAAAAGACTTAAATTCTTCTTTACAGTCCGTTACAAAATTTCCATTGTTCAACATCCACGTTTTCATTGTCCATCTTGATGCTTTGGGTTGGTCTTGAATTTCCAGTAGCAGGGGATTATGGTCTGCAAATGTTGATGGTAAAATCTCCATTTCCGTTATATCTGCCAAACTTGTGCTGGAGGCCCAAACCATATCGATCCTGGACCAGGATTGATGACGAGGAGAAAAATATGTAAAATCGGGCTTATTGCCATTCCTAACGCGCCACACATCTACCAACCTTAGCTCTTCGGCCAACAAAAGAAACGCATGAGGCAGCTTGTTTGATTTAACTGTTTTGGAGCCTTGATTCTTTCTATCCTCACGTAAGTCAAAGACCGCATTAAAATCACCTACTATATAGATTTCATCAGCCGAGAGTTCCATTAATACCTTTCGTAGTTTGTGGAAAAATTTCCCTTGCTCTTGGTTAGGGGCATATATGTTAGTTATTAGAGCTGTTCTATTTTGCCTTTGGATTTTAACTATTAATATTCGAAAAGGACTTCTTTCTCAACCTTCTCTACCCCACGCATAGTTTTATAAACCTCTATCGTATCACCCGTCAGTCGTCGTTTCCCCAAGCTGAGGAGCCCTGCCCTCTTTAACCTTTCTTCATAGGGAAGGTGTTCCATCCTCTTAATCATTTTAGTTTTAATTTTCCAGTGCTATAATATCTCTTTTGATGTGTGGTGTGTGACCAGAACTGTACGCAGTATTCCAAATGAGGCCACGCCATAGATTGATAATTCGTAGAAAAAGCCCAGCAGGAACTCATTAGCATAATAGGCCATACCCAACAGCAGGAACTAATTAGCATATTAGGCCACACCCCTGACAACACAGCTCATTTGCATATTAGGCCACACCCCCATGTTACCGGAAGTGTGGTCACCCAGCCACACCCACCTTTTGCTTCTTATTCTCTTTACCTTGTTTGTTGACAAAACCCAGGGCTTTTTTTTGAAGCAGGAACTCCTTTGCATGTTAGGCCACACACCCCTAATTGTAGCCAATCCTAATGAGTTCCTGCTGTTGGGTGTGGCCTATTATGCTAATGAGTTCCTGCTGGGCGTGGCCAACTTGGGAGCCAGCCGGAACTCCGTTCCTGTGCGTTCCTGCCCCAAAATAGCCCTGGATACAGGCGCATTGGGATACTGAATGGGAGATCGTGAACTGCTCTGGGCCACGCAGTTACCTTCATGGCCGAATGGGACTTGGGATTCTGATCTCTCCTTATTGGCTGAGCCACTCCTCGGGCTCCAGACATTTGAGGGCCTTTGCTGTTGCTAAAAGCCACCACCGGGGCCTTCATTCAGCCGTCTCCCAACTGATCTCAGCCGGGGTCTCTCACTCCCTCTGTGCCAGAATCCGTTGATGGGCCCCAGTCAAAGAGAAGACCGGGAATGGGGGGGGGGGATCACCAATACATTTTGCTACGGACAAACTCTCACAGTCTTCCTTCTTTTCCCTCGAAGCCGTCCAAATTAAAAAGCCGATACAGACCAAATTCCGCATGCCCACCTTCAACTGGGTGGCTCTGAAGCCAAACCAGATCAACGGGACCGTCTTCAACGAGCTCAACGATGAGAAAGTCCTTCAGGTAGGGGCAGTGGCGGTCCGTGCGGAGTTCTGTCCCTCCCTGCTTTGTCCCGACGTCTCTCCCTTCATGCACACGCCTGTAGGAAAGCAGTGCAGATGGATTCTCCTGCCTGGAAATTGGGAACTGAAATACTTATACTTAATGAGAGCCCGAGATGGAATCTGTTTACTGCTCACTGGCGCAGTCGGTGTGGCCATGAGAGAGAGGGGGAGGAGCTGATAACAGAGAACTTGCCTGCACACACACATTCCTTAGTTCATGTCTCATGAATGGGATGATGTAATATATGAAAGAAAGGAGGGGACGGAGGAAGAGATTTTCAATAAATACAGCTGGTGAGTGAGAGGAGATTCATTCAGACAGCTTCCTGCAGACTTGTGTCCTGTCGTCTTTGCATCGCGTGCACCCTGCACCCCACGCCCCAACAAGTGACACCACACACGCCCCTGTTCTTGTGTTTGCCTTCTTCTCCATGCAGGTTCTGGACATGAATGACTTTGAGGAGCAGTTCAAAACCCGGGCTCAGGGCCCCGGCCTGGAGTTCAGCGGCTTGAAGGTCAAGACCTCCCAGAAGGCCCCCAGCAAAGTGACGCTGATCGAGTGCAACCGGGCCAAGAACTTGGCCATCACGCTCCGCAAGGGAGGGCTCACCATCGACAGGATCTGCAAGGCCATCCAGACGTGAGTGGGGGCCGTCTTTCCCCTCGATTCAGTTTCCCAGCAGCGCTGAGGAGAAGAGGTCAGCCGGCAGGCAGAGAAAAGGGAGCGTCTCCCTGGATCAAAGGCTGGAAACTCAAGGGTTGGCCTGACCTGCAAGGGCTTATGTAGGTGAATCAGAAGGCCAGGCCTGGGGGTCCATGAGGGTTCAGTGCTCTCCAAGCCTTCCTGGCTGTCCAGGGTGCTGAAAAGGAAAGGAAACCAGATTTATTTGTAGTTTGCATTTCTGAAGTGAGACTCAAGATGGATTGCACAATTATAATAAACCAATAAGAAGAGAAGAGATTGGATTTATACCCCGCCCTTCACTTGGGAGTCTCAGAGCGGCTTACAAACTCCTTTCCCTTCCCTTCCCCACAACAGACACCCTGTGAGGTGGGTGGGGCTGAGAGAACTCTGACACAAACTGCTCTTTTTCAAGGACAGCTGTGCCAGAGCTTGTGACTGACCCAAGGTCACATCAGCAGGTGCAAGTGGAGGAGTGGGGAATCAAACCCGGTTCTCCCAGATTAGAGTCCACACACTTAACCACGACACCAAACTGCACCAAACTAAGGACAGCATAAAGCAATTAGTGTAAATAAGGACAGTATTTTTATACAAATGATGCAACAAAACCAAACCGTAAGGCTGGGAATGCCACACCCTGAACTGTATACAATGAACAATGTCATATACAATGAACAATGCCACAAACTACCTAAAATTTTACAAACATGATAATGGATGTGATGGGCTGTAGGTTCAGGATGGACAAAAGGAAATACTACTTTACACAGAGTGATTAATATATGGAATTCACTGCCAGGGGAGGTAGTGGTGGTCACAGGAATAGACAGCTTTAAAAGGGAGTTAGGTAGATTTATGGAGGAGAAGTCTATCAATGGCTAGTAGCCATAGTGGCTGAGGGGACCCTCTACATCCAGAGGCACTAATTCTCTGAATCCCAGAGCCAAGAGGCAATGTCAGGGGAAGGCCTTGGCCTCTACGCCCTGTTGTTGGCCCTCCAGAGGAACTGGTTGGCCACTGTGTGAGGCAGGGTGCTGGACTAGATAGACCACTGGTCTGATCCAGCAGAACTCTCCTTATGTTCTTACCAAGGGTAGGCCTCGGTCTCTGTGCCCTGTTACTGGCCCTCCAGAGGAACTGGCTGGCCACTGTGTGAGGCAGGATGCTGGACTAGATGGACCACTGGTCTGATCCAGCAGGGCTCTTCTGAGGTTCTTATCAGGGGAAGGCCTCGGCCTCTATGCCCTGTCGTTGGCCCTCCAGAGGAACTGGATGTCCACTGTTTGAGGCAGGATGCTGGGCTAGATGGACCAGTGGTCTGAGCCAACAGGGCTCTTCTTATGTTCTTATGACTGTAACCCAGTTCCTTCATGTTAAATACTTGGTTCTGGACGCATTGCAGTGATCAGCTCTAGTTTATTCAGTGATTTCAGCACACTGCAAGGAGGACACCCAGCTTCTCGGCCTTTTGGCTAAGATCAAGTGTGTGTGTTTCTGTATGCAGATTGCTGGTACTACTTTGCCCCTAAAAATAAGCCAGTTTTGTTACCTACCGGTGTGGTGGTGTGGTGGTGTGTCCGGGGGGGGGGGGGGGGGTAAGGGTATCCCTGTTATTCTTCTGGCCCTACCAATACTTTCTGAAGTGGGACGCTGGACCCTGGAGAGGGTTGGGATTCCTTCTGGAGTTTGTGACACCAGCCAGGTTGTTTGCAGCCTGGTCTTTTGATGAAGGCAGGGCTGTGGCACTACAGTCCCGACTTCCGGTGGCCTGCAGCGTCGCCTCTGGCCCGTTTCCTCTTTGGCCTGCACCTCTGCTACCTAGGAGGCAGACCCGGTCCGGTGGCACTGGCAGCCCCTTCGGGCCTTTCCTTCCTCCTGGCCGTCACTGGCGCCGGAAGGGGAGAAGGGCAGAGGCTGCAGCAGTCTCTTCCCTGGTTCTCCGCCCCGTGCTTGCCTTTGGGGTAAAAGCAAAACCTCGAGCCATCCCTGCCTTTGGGTCCTTCAGAAACGAGCCGTCTGAAGGCAGCTTGTTTCCTTTCCTGCTCAGATACGACCTCCAGGCCCTGAACCTCGACTTCCTGGAGCTGCTGATGCGCTTCCTCCCCACGGAGTACGAGCTGACCCTGATCCGAAAGTACGAGAAGGAGCAGCGCCCCCTGGAGGAGCTCTCGGACGAGGACCAGTTCATGATCAAGTTCAGCAAGATCCCCCGCCTGGCGGAACGCATGAACATCATGACCTTCCTGGGCAACTTCGGAGACACCGTCCAGCTCCTCCTCCCAGTAAGTGACAGGAACCGATAACTTGAGGGGGTGATGGAAGAACCACCCATGTTGGGTACCGTCGGGACAGGTGTGCAGATGGGCATCAAATACCAAATAACATCTAGGTCAGTGGTGGCGAACCTATGGCACGGGTGCCAGAGGTGGCACTCAGAGCCCTCTCTGTGGGCACGCGTGTCATCGCCCCAGCCAGGCCCAGACCACTATGAAAGTGTCGAATTCTCTGCCAAATAATTTTAAGTAAATGAAAGCGTTTGGGATTGCTTTCCTTACTTTGTTTGGATCATCTTAAGTCAATGTATGGGTTGTTTTTTCTAAAGCAAAACCTCAGTATTCAGGTTAAACTGCCGTGTTGGCACTTTGCAATAAGTAAGTGGGTTTTGGGTCGCAGTTTGGGCCCTCGGTCTCTAAAAGGTTCGCCATCACTGATCTAGACCATTGATGTATGCAGTGTTTTCCTTTCAGTGAAGAATAATAGTGCAGTGGTGATTAGCCACAAGGTCTAGAGTGAACACTCTGTCTGGGGCAAGTGACGCTCTGCATTCTTGGTGCTTGGGGGGGCCCCACTAGTGGACCTCCTGATGGCACCAGGGTTTGGGCCACTGTGTGACGCAGAGTGTTGGACTGGCTGGGCCATTGGCTTGATCCAGCATGGCTTCACTTATGTTCCAGTGTTGCAGATTAAAAGCCAGGTTCTCCGTTTGTTCAGAGGCCTAGCAAGGGCAGCAGGCCAGACAGAATGCTGCTCTCACAACTTCTCTTTGGCTCTGTGCTTGCAGCCTTACCCAATAAACAGAGAGCCAGCAGGCTCAGGGTGTCAGACTAGGGTCTGAGAGACCTGGGTTCAAAACTGCACAAGATAAATGAAGGTTATTGCAGCATAAGCCTTTGAGGGTTGGATTTCACTCTGTCAACTGCATCTAACGGAGAAATGTTAGGCGTTCCTACTTTGACCTAAGAATATTAATAACCCTCAGTGGAGTTGGTAAGTAAGATCATTGTGCTTTAGAATAGGAAGCGGTTTTCCTATGCTGCCTGGGTCTTCAACCCCGTAGGGTGTTCAAGGCAAGAGACCAGTCAGAGGTGGTTTTGCCGTTGCCTGCCTCTGCGTAGTGACCCTGGACTTCCTTGGCGGTCTCCCATCCGAGTACGGGACCAGGGCTGGCCCTGCTTGGCTTCCGAGATCTGACCAGATCAGGCTAGCCAAAGCGACCCAGGACATGGCCAAAGAGTTGGTAAAAAGGTAAAGGTAAAGGCTCCCTTGCTCGAAAGCCAATTGAATCCGACTCTAGGGTTGCGGTGCTCATCTTCGTTTCCAAGCCGAAGAGCCAGCGCTGTCCGAAGACGTTTCCGTGGTCATGTGGCCGGCATGACTAAATACCAAGGCGCATGGAACGCTGTTCCCTTCCCACCAAAGTGGTACCTATTTATCTCCTTGCAATTTCTTGCTTTCGAACTGCTAGGTTGGCAGGAGCTGGAACTAGAGACGGGAGCTCACCCCATCTTGCGGCACCTGGGTCTCAAACTGCTGAACTACTGACCTTCCACAGCCTGCAGTTCAGCGTCTTAACCACTTGAGCCACCGCAGTTGGCGCTGACCTCCAAATGGGTTTGAACCTGAGACTGTGAAGGAACACTTTCTCCCATAACAACCTGCCCTTCTGTGGGTGCCCCCCTTGAAAGTTAGGTGGGCATCTATTGGAGGGCCCTTTCAGCAGTTCTGTTTTGCTGGGTCGTGCCCCATTTTGAGCAGCCCCAGCTGGTCAAGCCCCAGTTGGCTTGAAACTCAACATCCAAAAAACAAAGGTCACAGCATCCGGCCACATCACTCCTTGGCAAATAGAAGGGGAAGTCGTGGAAGCAGTGACAGACTTCATGTTCCTGGGATCCCAGATCACTGCAGATGGTGACTGCAGCCGTGAAATTAAAAGACACCTGCTCCTTGGGAGGAAAGCGATGGCGAACCTTGACAGCATGATAAAAAGTAGAGACATCACCCTGCCAACAAAAGTCCACATGGTCAAAGCAATGGTATTCCCAGTAGTAATTGTATGGCTGCGAGAGCCGGACTATAAGGAAGGCCAAACGCCGAATAATAGATGCTTTTGGTGCTGGAGAAGACTCTTGAGAGTCCCTTGGACTGCAAGGAGATCAAATCAGTCAGTCCTAAAGGAAATCAACCCTGACTGTTCCCTGGAAGGCCAGATAATGAAGCTGAAGCTCAAATACTTTGGCCACCCAATGAGAAGGGAGCACTCACTGGAGAAGACCCTGATGCTGGGAAAGATTGAAGGTCAAAGAAGACGGGGACGGCAAAAGACGAGATAGTTAGACAGTGTCATAGACGCAACGAACATGAAGTTGAGCCAACTCCAGAGGACAGGGGAAGACAGGAGGGCCTGGCGTGATGTGGTCCATGGGGTCGTGAAGAGTCTGACTCGACTGCGCGACTGAACAACAACAAAAGCTGGTGCTTAGTGGTTTGGGTCCCCCAGTTGAGGGTGAACTGAGCTTTTTAAAAATTATTTTAAGTGTTGCTTTGAAATGCAGCTGTTGTGAGCTAACTTTATTATATGTCTGCTGGAATAATGGGCAGGAAGGCAGCAAAAAATATTATGCAATTGTATAGACCTGGGGACGGGACGGTGTTGGAGGAAACGGGATGGACTGATCAGATCTCTGCTCTTTCCCATCTACAGCAGCTGAATTCCATCATTGCTGGGTCCATGTCGCTGAGATCTTCCACCAAATTGCGTCAGATTCTGGAGGTGAGTCTCCCTGCAAACAAGAGTGGGTGTCCACAACCAGCACAAGGGCCAACCCCTTGGGCCGCATCACGCCTAAATAACCAGGAGGTCTGCGGAGTGACGGCATGTCCAGTTTTCTAAATAAACAAATATCCCAAACTTTCCTTTTTCTGAATTCAAAGGGGAGGTGCACCCTTCTTTTGTAAACTCAGAAAAGGCTTAATAGTGTTTAGCATGCATTCATTCGTTTATTCAAGGTAGGCATAATAATGTAACAGTTATTGAAATGCATGAGAAAAAGGAACTTTCAGCACTTTGTGTGTAAGCAGAACGGCCCACCCTGAAGGATTCCCACCCCTTGTGATTCCGTCACCAATCTGTGCATGTCACCTGACCCGAAGCAGGCAAGTCCAAAGCAGCGACTCATGCAGAGATGCGACATGCAACCTCCTCTAAAGGCTGGTAATTCTGTTGCCCTTCTGCATCAGGAGATGCTGAGTGATTCAATCATTCCTAACCACAGAGTGGGTACAGGATCATCTGTGCCTCACCAAAAGCTGATAGGAAAGGGGCAAAGTCAGGACATGCAGAGAGGCAATGGGCGGTCTCCTTTGTAGGTGGCTACTTTGGATTCACCTTTATTTAATGAAAGGATTTTTTCTTCAGGAGGCACACTAGCAGTTCTCCCATAGGACACTTAAGGTGCTCTGGTATGCAGCTTGGGAAGTTGTTGACTAGGCTAGAGCCTTGATACGGTTTATCCCAGAGGTCGCCAACCTTTCCAAGCCTGTGGGCACCTTTGGAGTTCTGACACAGGGTGGTGGGCAGCCACAAAGTGGCCATTGCGGGGAGGTGGGGGACGGAATGGTCACCATGGGAGGCGGAGCCAACCGCACACAGAGGAAGCCCAAATGCAGGGGACAAGGGGAGTAAATTTTAAAAATACACGGGGAAAGAGAAGCCAGAGGGAGAATAAAACCAGTACTGTAGTGGCAGCTGTCACTGAAATGTTATTTGAATCTGCTCAGCCAATCGAATCTCCAGGGGGCAATCAGAAGCCCTGCTGGGTAGGGCCCCACCAGGTCCCACCCACTTTCTAGAAACACTTGGCTGGTTCCGTGGGCGCCATGTTGGGGACCCCTGGTTTATCCCCAGCCGAGTCAGGGAGAAGGAGAAAGGCTCTCCTGCCTCTGGCCAAGAATGCCACAAGCCCATGTCACTCATGGCGCTATTCGTGCTCTGAGAGCAAATGCTGATCCTCGCCTCTTTTTTACCTGGGTTTGTCTTCCGCTGTAAGGCAATTACCCAAAGTAATAAGAAAAAGCCACCCACTATGATTATTTTGCATACAGTGGTATGTTGGAGAGAGAATTCTTGGAGAAAAGAATTTAACATCATTGTTAGTGGTAGCAACTAGACATTCTCTTGTGCCCATTCTGAAAGAAAAACCCATCCTCTTCTTGAGGGTTTTCTCTCTCGCACCCGTAGAAGATTAAAGGAAGGACTCTCACAGCCCCGTTCCTTCTCTTCCTCCATGAGTTCTGGGCCCATTAGTGGACTGCAAGTAGTACAGTTCCCTTTGACCGCCTGCCTGTCTCCGTAGATTGTTTTGGCATTCGGGAATTACCTGAACAGCAGCAAACGGGGAGCAGCTTACGGATTCCGGTTGCAGAGTCTGGATGCGGTAAGTGGAGTCAAGTCACACTTGCAAACACATCCCTTTTGGGAAGCCAGGGAGGTCGAGAAACAAGTATAATGTCTCGCCCCTGCAGTGTATCTGTTCTCATTTATAGTCTGCTTTTATCATGGAGACTCAAGGGGGATTACAAGCACAATAGAACAGTCCGTCAGTAAACAGATTCCAAAAATATGGAAACATTAGAACGGCAACGACATTTGAACCTAACAGTGAAGGTTCCCAGTAAAACCAAACTGTTCAGGCAGTCAGCACGCAGATTACAAAACATGATAACAGCAAAGTTATCAGCAAAGATTCCTAGTAAAACGACATAATGTGGAGGGGGGGGGGGCTGGGACTGAAGAACTGGAAGAAAAAACCCAAGTCTCCCCAGGAAAGGTTACCTCCTGAGCTGAACTGCTCCCCCGCGGTTCTGCTCCCCCCCGCAAGGAGCCCTTCCCGGACCATTTTGTTTTACATATTTTGCAAAATGACAGGCGTGTGGGGAGGGGCCTTCCCAAGAGCCTCGGGCAGCCCGGTTCCATTAGCGGGAGCCGCTGCGCTATGGAATGGGAATGAGGCCCAGGAAGGATCCTTACTGCACGTGTTCTTCTGTACGCCCTTTCCAAAAACCGGACTGGACTGAGCGTGGGGGAGGCCCACAGATTGCCCACAGGAGCTGTGAGCTCAGAGCCGGTGTTTGGGCCGAGCCACCCGAGCCTCTTTCTGGAGCCCGTTGATGCGCCACAGGGGGCTCGACTTGCTCCCAGACATTGGCGGTGTGGGAGGAGACTGGTGTCCAATGTTCCCTCTAAGCTGTGGAGTCTTGTGAGCAAAAATTCTACTTTGTGAGCTACAGGCATTAAAGTTGTGAGCAAGCGATTTGGCTACTGCATAAATTAGTTTGCTCTGGAGCCCTCCTTCCTAGAGGCGAATTTCCCAAAGCTAAAGAAAGTTATTGAGACAGTTAAAGAAAGTTATAACTCAATAAAAAATAAAAAAAATGTTCGCAGTTCTTTCTGGATCTTCGTCTCTCTGTTTTGTTTTTGCTTATTTTGCTTATCAGTAAATGACTGAAGGTGCATTATAAATTGGGGGGGGAACGGGACGGTGGAACCCAACTTTAGTGGGTTAAATTTGAAACTTATTTTTTATTGAGTTATAACTTTCTTTAACTGTCTCAATAACTTTCTTTAGCTTTGGGAAATTCGCCTCTAGGCACTAGCTCCCAAAACGATTCTTGCTCAGCACGGGTCTTCAGAAAAATGTCATTTTAAAGGGTTATTTCATTTTCAAGAGATGCCTTGTTCAACCCAAGTGGGGCTGGTGATCTACCTCTGACCCCTCCGCAATCTACTGGTAGATCGTGATCTACCTGTTGGATAGACCTGAAATAGACCATAACAGCGGGTCACATCATTCTCCAGTTGTGGCTATCATCTCCCACCAAGGCCCTGGCAGCAGGAAGACTGCTGACACATAACCAACCAGCATTCTGGCAGCATTCCCGCAGGGCAGGTTCCAGGTGTCTGTTGTCTCCCCAGGTAAGGAACACCAGGCCTCTCTGGAACTTGGGCCCTCAGCCAAATCCCCTGCAACAGCCCTGGGGCTTGGCTGGGACTTGGTCAGTGAGACCAAGGAAGGGACACCAGCAGTGTTCCCTCTAAGCTAGCTCACAGTTTTTTAGCCTCCGGCTCACACATTTTTGTCTTAGCTCAGGAAGAGTCCTACAATGCCAAGACCACGGCCATACAGCCCAGAATATCTACAACTAATAAGTTATGGAGACGGTGTCTCTGAGCTCCATGGTGATGGACTAGGGGCATTGAGATTTCCCGTCTGACCATTCTCTCTCTCTCTCTCTGTAGCTCCTGGACATGAAGTCAACAGACCGGAAGCAGACGTTGCTTCATTACATTGTGCGGGTTATCCAGGAGAAATATCCCGACCTTGTTAACTTCTCCAATGAACTGCACTTCCTGGATAAAGCAGGGGCAGGTATGCAGGTTGTGGGCAGGAGAGAGAAGCGGATCATATTCCTGGCGAGAGATGGAGCGCAGAGTTCTTCCACCGCAGGGGTCGCTTACGGGGTGCCCGCCAAACTCCTTTTCCTGGTGCCTGCCAAGTATTTTTATGAAGTGGGTGGGTCCAGGTCGGGCTTTTACCCAGCAGGCCTTCTGATTGGCCATTGGAGATTTGATTGGCTGTGCAGACTTTTGAAAGAAGAATAGGAGGTTTCCATACCCCACTTTTCTCCGCCTTTAGGAGTCTCCGATTGGCTTACTATCATGCTCCCTTTCCCACAGTAGGCACCATCAACAGAGAAACTCCTATGGCCTATTTTTACCCTCTGTCAAACCATGAATATAGGAGAACATTTACACTTATGCACTGGGATGTACTTCCCATAGCAAATACAGAGGGAAAGTACAAGAAAATCCCATTTGAGGAATGCCCCTGCTGTAATGTAGGCATTGAAAATCTAGAACATGTTATGTTCGACTGTGAGGCCTATAGTAATCTCCGGAAATCTCTTTCACTCCCCAAGTTCTTACCTCTAACCAGCAGGCAAAGAGCCCATATTATGAAAAACCTCCTCTCAGATAGGCACTCGGAGGTAACACACCAAGTGGCTAGATTTGGACGGAGTGTTTTAAGAATTAGAAAATCTATAATAGCACCGCAAGCTAAATGTTAGTCGTTTTATTGTTAACCATCTGCCTCCTAAGGAGTTTATTATGTATTTTATAATGCATTTTACTGTTCCGTTAAGCCTTTTTACCTTTATTCATAGGTGTTTTTTTACTGCTAAGTTTGTAGTGTTTCAAATGTTATCTGCTGGATTCGGCCATCAATAAAACTTTATCCTATCCACAGTAGGCCCTTTGTGAGGCAGGTGGGGCTGAGAGAGTTCCGAGAGAGAACCGTGACTGGCCCAAGGACATCCAGCCGGCTTCCTGGGGAGGAGGAATCAAACCTGGTTCTCCAGACTAGAGGCCGCTGCTCTGAACGACTGCTCCGTGCTGCAGCAGCCATTCTGTTGCAGCACCCAGTGTGCCGTGTCAGAATTCTGTAGGCGCCTGCAGCAGATGGCACCGGAGGTGCGAAGAGGAGAAAGTTGCACCTACCAGGGCTGCCCAGAGCGCCCCCCCATGCCCCTAATTCAAACCAAGTATCATACCAAAACAAATAACTTGGCTTCTTCATACCATAAATAGAATCATAACAAGGGGCGGGACCCGCGATACTCGCAGGGGGAGGGACCTCCACACTTATGAGGCAGAGGAGGAAGCAGCAGGAGGAGGTAAGTTCCCCCCATCCCGCTGGTTCCCCCGTCTCCTCCACCACCCCCCGCTCGATCTCCCCCCCTGCCTCTCCTGCCCCGCTCCGAAGCGAGGCCTGAGCGGCTTGCCACTCGGGCCTCGCTGCTCTCCCCCCCTCCGAAGCAACGGCAGTGGTGAGGGAGTTCGCAGAGCGTTCCCTGCACATGCGCAGGGGACGCTCTGTCACTTTTGGGGGGATTTAAGTATCCCCCCGATATTTTTTCCGGGTTTTTAGATTTTTGTGCACACCTGGGGACTGCCCCAAGTGTGCACGAAAATCTCCCTCCCCCCCAGGTGCCCCCGATGCGCGGATTTAGGTATCCGCACGCAAGGGGGCACCTTCACTATTAGATATATAGATGGTTTATTACAGGGGTGTCAAACATGCAGCCCAGGGGCCGGATCAGGCTTCTATCAGGCCGGCAGTGGAACTGGCTGTCTTCTGCTTTTTCTTCCAGTTCTGCTGCTGCTGCGTCATCGTAGGTTTGCAGCTTACAGATGCACACCTGAACGGCATACTCAGGATTGCGACAGCACAGACATTTTGAGGCAGTCATCCGGAGCAAGAGGTGTCAGTTATCAGACACAGTTAAATGAACAAAATATTGCAAGAGCGCTGATGTTTTAAGCATCTTTTTATTTTAAGTAAAAAAACACACTCTTTATAAAGTTTATCTCTCCACTACCTGGCATTACATTTTATGACAGACATGGCCTGGCCCGGCAAGGTCTATTTATGTCAGATCCGGCCCTCATAACAAATGAGTTCGACACCCCTGGTTTATTAGGTAAGCTGCAGTCAAGGAAAACAGACAAGATTGTTAAAGAATAGATTTTTACTTAGGATGATTCATACTGTGCCGACTGCAGTTGGATGCATCCAAAAAGGAAGAGAGCCAATAAAACCAGAGGGACTCCCCAGCCAAGGGGCAGATTCAGAGTATTGACATTCACTGTAAATTAAATGAAGCTGAGACTTAAATTTCCTGGGAACACGCCCCATTGAATGAAGTGAGTGAGACATCCATCTCTCTCAAAAAGTGCTCAGCCGGGAAAATATCTTAAAATATTTCTACTTACCCGAAACAAAAAAAAGCAAGGTAAAGATGCTTAATGGGCAAGGGCGACTGGGGAGATACGTGAAGTCGATCATATTCCCCACGGAGTAGAAGTACGTAGCCAAAATCCCACATATTTCCCCTGATATTCTCCCCACAGCAACCATTTCCTGCCCCTGCCACAGAAAGTTTTACATTTTTTCAGGGGTCATTTAGTAGAAAAAGAGGTGCAGGAGCTCATTAGCATAACTCATTTGCATATGCCACACCCCCTGACATCACCGGAAGTGTGTCAGAAGGCAACACCCACCGCTCAGGCTCCACTGGACTGTTTTGGATTGCTATTGGTTGCTAGCTGGTGGGGGGGGGAGCGTGCTGATCTGCCCTCACAGAGGAGGGAGAGCTTGTACCTGAATAAACCTTGGCATTAAAGGTGCCACTGGACTGTTTTGGAATGCTAGCTATGGGGGGGAGGAACACGCAGATCTGTCCTCACAGAGAAGGGAGAGCTTGTACCTGAAGGCGGACTGGGGGGGCTTTGCAACTTACTTGGCTGCTTCTTGTTCCTCGTGGCCCGACTGTTGCTTGTTGCATGTGCCTGCCCCCTGAGCTCCTTACTGCCGGAGCTCCGCTCCTGTGTGCTCCCGCAGGAAATGACCCCTGCATTTTTTAACTGGCACTAAAATATCATTCTACCAATACAATGTTATAATAAAGATGTGTACCCGGTTCTCTGAAATCCCAGCTTTCGTAAGCCTCCAGCCTTTTACATTGCAGAGGTATAAAGGGAAAGGAAATCCAGGGATTCTGGGCACCTGATCCTCGTGGCCCCCTCCTCCCCCAGAGGCCCTGGCATCTACCCTCCCAAGTGGCTTCTGAGTTCCCTTGAGGGAGACCAGGGGACTGGAGCTTGTGAGCCGAATGAGGCTTATTTCGCCAGTTTGGTGTAGTGGCTAAGTGCGCAGATTCTAATGTGGGAGAACCGGGTTTGATTCCCCACTCCTTCACTTGCATCTGGCTGGATGACCTTGGGCAAGCCATAGTCCCGGCAGCGCTGTCCTTGAAAGGGCAGTCCTCGAAAGAGCTCTCTCAGCTCCACCTACCTCACAGGGTGTCTGTTGTGTGGAGGGGAGGGGAAAGGAGTTTGTAGGCCACTCTGAGACTCTGAGTAAAGGGGGCGGGCGGATATAAATCCAATCTCTTCTTCTTCTTCTTCACCTTTTCCTCCCGCTGTAGTGTCACTGGACAGTGTGCTGCAAGATGTGCGGAGTCTGCAGCGGGGCATGGAGCTCACCCGTAAAGAGTTCATGCGCCAAGACGACAGTGCTGTGCTCAAGGACTTCCTTAAGGCCAACACAGAGGTGATGGAGAAGCTCCAAGCAGACAGCAAAACAGCCCAGGTGAGGGAGGGGAAGAGGAGGAGAGGTCTGCTCCAACAGGGGCCGTAAAGGCATTCGGGATGTGAAACCTAAGGAGAGGCGTTCGGGACCTAACATAAGACCAGCCACCTTTCCTTTTTTTCTTTCTTTTTTTGCAATTCCCCCCTCCCCCCAAAAAACTATAAACTACAGGAAAAAGTTAAGATAAACCACTAAAAACCCAAGAGGTGGTGGTCATATAATAATTACAATAAAGTAGCTTTTAATCATAATAAAGATTAGTTTGTTACATTGAATGTGATCGTTAAAGTCGCTTAAAATTTCAAATCCAGGTATTCCGACTTAGTAAGAAACAAAACAAAGAATGCTTAAATATTAAGAAACAAGACCAAACTTCAGAGAAAATCTCATTTGCCTCTCCTGTCCCCCAATTGATATCCTTGCTTGGGGGCAGCCGCCCCACGTTCCGAATCCGAGTCTTCTCCAGAAAGTGTTTCACCATCGCTCCCCTTTTTGCTCTTCTCGTCCTCTTCCCCCGTTGGATCCAGTTGTTGCTGCAAAAACTCACGTGCTTTGATAACAGAGTCCATTTTCCCCCCTTACCTTTAAATTTGAAGAGTATGCCTTCAGGTACAATCCATTTGTAGGAGATGTTATTCTTTTGTAGAAACAGAACCAAGTCTCTGTATTTCTTCCTTTCCCCCCCTTATTTCAAAGGGAATGTCTTTCAGCACTCTTATCTCCTTGCCATCGATTTTAAGGGTAGCTCCATTTGTTGCTTTTAATATCTGATCCCTCACATGTCTGCGGGAGAATCTAACCACCACCTGACCGGGCAGATTATTTTTCTTTATGTATTCTGAATATGACCTATAGATCACATCCATCTCGCCTTGAAGAAAGTCCACTTTTAAATCTGCAACCAGTCCCAGAACATCACTCATAGTCTGTTTAAGATTCTCCCCTTTAATCTCAGGAACTCCCTGAAATCTCAGTGTAAAGCTTGCCTAAGGAGGCGTTCAGGACCTAACATAAGACCAGCCACCTTTCCTTGGGGACCACTTTATTCTCTGGATGGTGGCCGGGGAGTATATTTCAGGGCCCCGCCCCCCCAATTTCCTAATGTCTCCCAAACAGCTGTGGGCTGAGATTCTGTACTAAGGCTGACAACTCCTAGGCGGTGGTCTGGAATTCTCCCAGAATCATTATGATTTTCCAGGCTACAGCAATCACTTTAGAAGGTGGTATACAATAGACCTAGGAGAAGTCCTGGAGTGATATCACACGCCCCACTGATCTCCTTCCCCTGCCCCCAAATCTCCAGGAATTCCCCAGGCTGGAGTTAGCTAGCCTCAGGGGCCAGCACCAGAACAAATGAAGGGGAGTATCTTGATACTGTTCGGGGTGCAATTCTGTGGATGTCTTCTTCACCTGCAGGAGGCCTACGAGGCAACAGTGGAGTACTTTGGGGAGAACCCCAAGACCACCCCTCCCACCATGTTCTTCCCAACATTCATACGCTTTGTCAAGGCTTATAAGGTAAGAGACCTGCCTCTGATCGGGTGTGGCTCAGCAGCAAGATGGCAGGGTCCTGGTTAAATCAGTTCTCAACACCAGTCAGTTTGAAGAAAGCGAACTTTATTGAGACAGTTGATAGATACCAGCCTGGACACATCTATTGTTAGGACTGAAGTTGAACGCGCAAAGGTTGCAGATATAGTGTGTTCAAATTAGTGCTTTTCGATATGATGGAGGAAGTACATAAGAACATAAGAGATGCCAATGTTGGATCAGGCCAAAGGCCCATCCAGTCCAACACTCTGTATCACACAGTGGCCAGAAATACCAGTGCCATCAGGAGGTCCACCAGTGGGGCCAAGACATTAGAAGCCCTCCCACTGTTGACCCCCCCCCCCCAAGCACCAAGATCTCTTTGGGTGAAGAAGTACTTCCTTTTCTCCGTTCTAACCCGACCGCTCTGCAGTTTCATGGAGTGCCCACGAGTTCTTGTATTGTGAGAAAGGGAGAAAAGGACCCCTCTCTCTACCTGCTCTATCCCATGCATAATCTTATAAACCTCAATCATGTCACCCCTCAGAAGTAACAGCTACTAGGGCTCAGAAAGATCTTATATCCAGACTTCTGGCTGCAGCACGTCTAACCACAGCGGCTGGATGGAAAGCCAGCTCTCCTCCCCTGATACAAACATGGCATGATAAAATTTGGGATATATTTATTTTAGAGAAGCTGACACAGGTCACTCAAGCTACATCAGTAGATACTTCAAAGGCCTACGAGCGATTTGTTGCAGTGTGGTTCAGAGTGCTTCAGTATATGTCAGAGAAGGACATAATTCCGTCTAAGGCTGCTTATGTCCCCTGGATACGCTTTTAAGCTTATCTCTGTTCAAGCTCGTAGGACACAACACATTAGCTCGATCACCATTCGAGAAGCTGGTTTTATTCGCATCAATCATCAGTATACAGGCTAAAGGATGACGATTAAGGGTTATTATTACGTAGACTGGTTGGGTCTGGCTGTGTTTTTAATGTTTTTAAGTTTTTCTTCGGTTAATCACTTACTGTCATGGCTGGTTCTTTTGACATGTTTGATTATGCTGTTGTGTTGTTTTACTCTTCTTGATAAAAAAAAGAAAAGGAAAAAAGTAAAGGCACTAAAGACCAAGACCCAATCAGCCCACCAGAGACAACGGTCAACTACCCCCCCCCACTAAGCACGTATCCCTCTACAGAAACAAGGCGAAACAACAGGTCTCTGTGACACATCAAAGCCATTAGGAAAACGAAGCATTTGGTTTCACACCCCTCTCCCCCTCCTCCTCCCTCCATGGCAGGCAAACCATAAAATGCACGCTGAGCCTTACACAAGGAGTGTGAGCCGGGATGTCTTCGGTCAAACCCTCAGCCACAAATTCACAAGGGTGGCTTTAGAGAAGCTGCTTGCTTGGTCTCCATTCTACAGCTGCAGCCAGTCTGCTCTGCAGGGCTGTTGTGATGATTGATTGCTTACGTTTTATTTATATATATTTATGTATATAGCCAGTTCGGCGTAGTGGTTAGCAGCCCGGACTCTAATCTGGGAGAACCGAGTTTGATTCCCCACTCCTCATCTTGCAGCTGCTGGTGTGACCTTGGGTCAGTCCCAGTTCTCTCAGAGCTGTTCTTTCAGGAGCAGTTCTGGAAAGAGCCCTCTCAGCCCCACCCACCTCACAGGGTGTCTGTTGTGGGGAGGGGGAGGGGAAGGAGATTGTGAGCCGCTCTGAGGGCGGGGTATAAATCCAGTCTCCTCCTCTTCTTCCCTTGCCCCAGTGGGGACCCCAAAGCAGCTTACCTCCTCCTCCTCTCCTCCATTTTATCCTCACAACAACCCCATGAGGTAGGTCATGCTGAGTGTGTGTGATGGCCTAAAGGTCACCCACCAAACTTTCCATGGCCCAAGTGGGGATTCGAACCTGGATTCCCTAGATGCTAGTCCAACGCTTCAACCACTGCACCACGCCGGCAGAGGAATTTGAGCTCATGAAAGATGTTATAAAGCGTTAAACACTGCTAATAATAATTCTTCCATAGCATTAACAAAAATGGTGGTAATGCTGCATTTTGTAACATATGACAGGGAAGCCTGCCATTTTTTCATCTCAGTTCCTCAGATGATTGGAATTCCTAAACGATTTAGCAGAGAAATGCCTGCAGTCTATACCCCACCACCATCTTATGTCATAATGACAGCACTAGGTGATACCACTAGGTGATGGTCATTTCAAGAAAAGAGAATCCCGCCTTTTCATAAGCAGACGTTTTGTGGCACTTTAAAGACTAACAACGTTTTATGCCGATGGAACCTTTTGTTGAGTAGGGCCTACCTGGTCACACCAAGCCACAAAAGATTCTGCTGGAATGAAGCGTGGTCAGTCTTTAAGGAGCCAACGAGACTGCTGTTCATCATTAGATCCAGGTTTGTTTTTGCTGCAACAGGGAGATATGTGCTCCCCCCCCCCACACACACACACCCCAATTACCTCTTTTCCTTATTGAGACTGTAGAGAGGCAGGAAAAGGCAAGCATACCACCACCACCACCACGGGCATCTCCCCCCACCCCCACCCCCGGCCGGTGATGTGTTGAGGTGTACAAAAGCCTGTTTTGGGGAGGGTGGAATAAAAATCCTAAAAATAAAATAAATAAAATGCTGTCACGCAGCTGACTTACGGAAACCCCAGCAAGGGGCTTCCAAGGCAAGTGAGAAGTGGAGGTGGTTGGCCATGGCCTTCCTCTGCAGAGTCTTCCTTGGTGGTCTCCCTTCCAAGTTCTGACCCTGCTTAGCTTCCAGTGTATGGCAACCCCAGCAAGGGGCTTCCAAGGCAAGTGAGAAGTGGAGGTGGTTGGCCATGGCCTTCCTCTGCAGAGTCTTCCTTGGTGGTCTCCCTTCTAAGTATTGACCCTGCTTAGTTTCCAATGTATGGCAACTCCAGCAAGGGGCTTCCAAGGCAAGCGAGAAGCAGTTGGCCATGGCCTTCCTCTGCAGAGTCTTCCATGGTGGCCTCCTTTCCAAGTATTGACCCTGCTTAGCTTCCAATGTATGGGAACCCCCGCAAGGAGCTTCCAAGGCAAGTGAGAAGTGGAGGTGGTTGGCCATGGCCTTCCTCTGCAGTCTTCTTTGCTGGTACCCTTCCAAGTATTGACCCTGCTTAGCTTCCAATGTATGGGAACCCCAGCTAGGAGCTTCCAAGGCAAGTGAAAGGCAGAGGTGGTTGGCCATCGCCTGTCTCTGTAGAGTCATCCTTGGAGGTCTCCCTTCCAAGTCCCAACCCTGCTTAGCTTTCAATGTATGGCAACTTCAGCAAGGGGCTTCCAAGGCAAGTGAGAAGCAGAGGTGGTTGGCCATCGCCTGCCTCTGCAGAGTCTTCCTTGGAGGTCTCCCTTCCAAGTCCCGACCCCACGTAGGTTCCTAGAACTGACTAAGACTGGGCTATCCCATGCCGTCTTTCCTTCCCTGCTGCTAACGGAGGACCGCCAGCAGCACTCGTGGCCCTCTCGCTGTGGTAGCTGTGGATGGAATGGCAGGCCCAGCATGTGCAAAGCTTTTCTGCATTTCCCTCCTTCCCTCTTCCTCAAATATATATTTCCCTGCCAATACAAAGACATGAATCTGCAGGGGATACTTTTGCAGCAAGGCCGTTCCCAAGTTCTGTATCCGTGATGATGGTTCGGTGTCCTTTCCTGCCCTCCTCACTCTCATCTCTCCTCCTCCCCCAAGAAAGCAGATGAGGACATCCAGCTGTGGAAGAAGCAGGAAGCAGCTGCCAAGGAGGAGGAGGAAGTGGACTCCCCCAGGAAAGATGAGCAGTCAGCACCCAAGGTTTGCCTTCAGTTCCTCTCGCCCCTTTTGAGAGCCCCATCCTCTCCGCGGCCCTCGGGATCGACAGAGTCTTTGCTCTGCAGTTGGATTCCGTTTTGGGAGCCAATCAAATGGGGTCAGTGGTCCTCCTGCCTATTTTCTGCTAGCAAGGAGGTCAGCAGGTAGAAGGAAGGGGCGAAAATATGTCCATCGACCTGGTGTTGAGTTTGCCAGGCAAAAGGCAGGACGAAGGTACCACCGGGCCTCCAGTTTGCATGTGGTTCCAGAGCTCTTGTGGTCCTGAAGCTTTTCTCTTAGGAACTACGCAGACTATATAGACAGTTATGCCTTGGAGGGGGGATAAAAAATCCAGTTGGCAGCCAGACTCGGCATTGGGATGAGCAAGGCCTTCTCCTGCTGCCAATGGGCAAATTCAGCCACTGCCCACAGAGGTGCCTTCTCTGTTGTGACCCCCGCCTCATGGAACGGCCTGCCTCCCCCTCTCCTGGCTTTCTGCACACTGTGGGAAACTGAATCATGCAAGAGGGCTTTTCTGCGTAAGCACAGGGCCACCGTGTTACAAAGTTACTTAGATAGATTATTGGGGACTGCAGTCTGTAGTACTGTGTGTTGTTTGCTGCGAGTTGGCTAACATGTGATTTTGTATCGTTTAACGGGTCACGTTAATGTGAGGGGTGTGCAGTTTTCTCTCTCTCAATATTTTTCGGTTCGGGTCTGTTGGACCAGGAAAAAAATTTGGATTCCCGAAAAATATCTGGATCCGAATACCGGTGAAGTATTCAGTGGGATTTTTCAGAAATCTCGTATTTTGGGGGGATTTTTCAGAAATCTCGATTTGGGGGGGGGGGTCTAATAGACCTGAACTGAAAAACACCAAGAGGAAAAAAAAGGCAGCAGCAAAGTTGCAAAAAACACCTGTGAGATGGCTCAGCCAGGCCTTGTTGTGCTGTCCCTTTAAACCGGGCTGCCCAAAAGCTTGCAAAGCTGCTGATCAGCTCTGATGGGCCTCTGCTGGCCAGCCTGGCTCAAACCCGGCTGCCCGGCAGAGCCCGCCAAACAGCTGCTCCTGTGGAGAGACCTCTTTCTGCAGGCTCTGCTGGGACTCTCTTCGGCAGCCCAAAAGAGCCCCAGCTGAGCTGGTGGGGAGAGTGCCCCCCCCAAGCTGTGTTTTTCAGGCTGTCTTCTGCAATCCCTTTAAACACACCCTGCAATCTGCTCCAGCCCCTCAGCTGTTGTTCAAGTTTGCCAGTAATTTCCAAATATATCCAGGATTTTTTTTTTCCTGGTTCTCCCGAAAAATCTTGGATACATTTGGGATGCCGAAATATACCGGGGAAATGCCGATAAGGTGTGTTTCGGGTATATTTTCAGTTTGGGCAGACCAGAATGCACAACCCGAGTTAACACTGTTTTGAGTTGTTGTTTTTAAAAGACTTCTGGGTGGATCTACAACCAAAATCTTGTTTAGTTGTTTATTGAATAGCCCATCTTCTTGGTTGTCTTGACTCACTTGCAGGGCTTTTTTTGTAGAAAAAGGCTAGCAGGAACTCATTGGCATAATAGGCCACACCCAACAGCAGAAACTCATTAGCATATTAGGCCACACCCCATGCCTTCCCTTGGCTTGCCCAAGCAAGCCCCCCCCTTGAAGGGAAGGCTTGCCTGGGCACCCTGTGGCTGCAGGGAGCCCGGGCAAGCCGGTCCTTGGGGGGGAGGGGAGGCACGGGGAGGCATTTAAATGCCTTCCTGATCCTTCCAGGGCCCCCCCTGGCCCACCTGCCTCGGAGTCATCGGGGGGGGGTCGCTCTCCAGGCCTTCCCTCTGTAGCCATGCATGCGCAGAGGTTTTGGCTGTAGGCGTGGCCAACTCGGAAGCCAGCCGGAACTCCGTTCCTGTGCGTTCCTGCCTCGGTGTAATCTGCCTGGAGTCCCAGTGAGAAATGGGGCGTGTAAATAGTGTAAATAAATGCTTGTGACACGATTCTTAACACCGGAGGCCTGTACGGTTAAGGCTGCCAAGAGATGGCAGAAGCATACAAAAGACGAGAGGAGGACACGGAAGCACCAGCGGCCGTGACAAAGGGGATTTTCGGCCATCTGATTTAGAGGGGACTTGAAGTACTTGATCTTGCCACCCACTCCTTAAAGTTGCCCTGCACTAAATGCAGCTGTGGACGAAGGTTTTGGCAACATAACATGAAATGTTTTTAAATACAGTAACTGTTTTCTTTGGCTTGTATCACCAACTGTGGTAGTCGGAGAGGACACACAAAATTTTTTCTCCTGTCCTGGCCCCTTGGGGAGGGTAAGTTAAAAAATTAAATGACGGGGAGGGGGGCACCCATCCACAGCGATAGCCCCCTTGTGTGTGCAAGTTCTCGGACAGCTGCCGCGGGAAGCGGGCAGTCCCACAGAAGGAGCGTGAAGAGGTGCGGGTGTAACCAAAGCAGTCCTCTCTCTTGCCCTTGGCAGTCTCCCACCCACAAGGCCAAGAGGCAACAGATGGACCTCATCGCCGAGCTGAAGAAGAAGCAGCTGGTGAAGGAGCCCATCATTTACGAGGGGAAGGACGGAGCCATTGAAGACATCATTACAGGTGAGGGCAGGTCTGGCTCGAGGTATCTTGTGGCCCGAACGAAGGTGCAGCTGAGGTACAGGGGAGAGCCGGGGTGGGGTGGTGGTGAAGACCGGTAGACTCTGACCTGGAGAACCAAGTTTGACTCCCCACTCTTCCTCCACATGCAGCCAGCTGGGCAACCTTGGGCCAATCCCAGCTCTCGCTGAACTCTCTCAGCCCCGCCTACCTCACAAGGTGTCTGTGACTAAAGGAGAGCCAATTTGGTGTAGTGGTTAAGAGCGGCAGACTCTAACCTGGGAGGACCGGATTTGATTCCCCATTCTTCCACATGCAGCTGCTGGTGTGACCTTGGGTCAGTCACAAGTTCTTTCTGAGCTGTTCTCTCAAGGGCAGTTCTCAAGAGAGCTCTCTCAGTCTGACCTCCCTCACAAGGGTGTCTGTTGTGTGGAGGGGAAGGGAAAGGGGATTGTAAGCCACTTTGAGACTCCTTCGGGTAGTGAAGGGCAGGACATAAATCCAATCTCCTCCTCCTCTTGTGAGGAGAGGAAAGCAAAGGCAATTGTAAGCCACTTTGAGACGACTCAAGGTAGAGAAAAGTGGGGTATAAAAACTGACCCATTTTGTGGCTGCCCCCACAGTGCCATTTCAGAATTCCCAATGTGCCCACCAATGCTCCCCCTAAGCTGCAGAGTCTTGTGAGTAAAAATTCCACTTTGTGAGCTGCTGGCATTCAAGTGGTGAGCGAGCGATTGGGCTGCTGCATCAGTTAGTTTGCTCTGGAGCCCTCCTTCCTGAGCTAAGACAAAAATGTGTGAGCTGGAGGCTAAAAAACTGTGAGCTAGCTCACCACTAACTCAGCTTAGAGGGAACACTGGTGCCCACTGGCTCAAAAAGATGGGAGATCCGTGCTGTGAAAGCTTCACTTTGGAACTGTTACACCCGCGTGTCGGGCAGGGCTGTGAACGGCACCTCTGCCCTGGCCGGCCACCTTGCCTCAGGCTCCTGGGAGCACCTGCTCCGTTCCCACTCTGCTTCACCCAGGCCTGCTTCATGCCTCTTTTCCCAACCGTCGGGGGGGGGGGGGGCTGCAGTCTCCTTCAGGTGTGCCACAGGCTTAAATGTGCTGTCGTTGCCGTTTGGTGTCCTGACTGCGGTTCTGGGGGCCAGGAGGCTAAAGATTTCTAAAGAAGTGTTCAAGCAGAGGTGGTTAGATTCTTCCCCCCTGCCGGGATGGCATGGCTATTAAGCCACTCGAATCACCCTGCTGCCACCAAGCTGAAGTGCCCAGGCCTCTCGTGGGGAGCGCCGGGGCAGATCCATGCTTTGTGATGCAGCCGTGCCGTGCAAGACCCTCTTTGTGGAGACGGCTTTTGCTGTTCACTGTGGTGCCCCCCTTTCTGGCCGCTCTTCCTTTTCTCTCTTCTATCCTCTGCCTCTCCTCCTCGGCCTGTTCTGTTTTCCTTGGAACTCCTCTTCATCCAGCCCTGAAGACTGTGCCTTTCACTGCTCGGACGGGCAAGCGCTCGTCTCGCCTCTTCTGCGACGCCAGCTTCAACGAAGAGAGCCCGCTGTAGATCGGGGCTCTAGGTAACCGCCACGCTGAAGGCAGGGGGCTGGATTTGGCAGGGAGAGGGGGAAGCGGGGTGGGGTGGGGTGTGTGGATAAGACGATGGGCCAACTTCCTCCAGTTCTGGGACAAGCCCTGCACTGCCTGGACATTTAGTTTGCATTTCTAGTCTCTGCCCAAAAGTGTGAGGCGCTTCCTGTTTTAACTTTACAACAGCCCTGTGTGGTAGACAACACTGAGAGACAGAAAATGTCCAGGTGCCCAGAGATCAGTCAGTTTGTCTCTCTCCTCATTGCTTGATACACTTTTATCCCACCTTTCCTCCAAGGAGCTCACGGCAGCACGCGGCAGTCTCCCCTTCCTTTGTAAACAGGCAGAGATTTGACTTTGGAGCTTCCTGGCCGAAGGGCGCAAGGAGACGAGGCCCCGGGAGCAAGGCTCCCTCTAAGCTGTGGAGTCTTGTGAGCAAAAATTCCACCTTGTGAGCGCCTGGCATTAAAGGTGTGGGCAAGGGATTTGGCTGCTGCATCAATTGGTTTGCTCTGGAGTAGAGATGTAAAATTTACAGAAATTTCGAAGCTCGGAAAAAAACCTGTTTCCCCCCCTTTTTTTCGGGGGAAAATAGAAATTTTAGGAAAAATTGAAAAAAATGCTACATTAGCACTTCTTTTTTCTTTTCCAGATTGAGGGTCATTCTGTTACTTTAGGAACATAAAATATGACTATGGACATTTTTACTTGGCATGAAATTATCACAACTAGCATATTAAAAATAGTGTATCCAAACAGTTATTACAAACAGAATACCCACCCACATGCAAAAACAACACTGAAACCTTTTTCTTTTCTTCTGACAATCGCACCTCCTAAAGGAAGAAATGCATCTTGTTCTTGCATTGGAGAGTTCAGTTTGTAACCTAGGATTTGCTTGTCTTCAGTGCACAGAAATTAGATCAATCTGATACCACTCATGTTTTTTTAGAAATGATTTGGAAAACATTTGAACACCTTGTCTTAAAATATTTTATTCATCATGCTAAAATAAAAGGTTCCGTAATCATTTTTTTTCCTTTTCTTTTTTCAATTTTTCCTATTTTCTGGAAAAAAACAAAAAAGGCTTCAGGGAAAAAATGGTTCCCCCCCCCCCTGAATTTTTCCGGTTTTTCACCAGGCCTTCACATCTCTACTCTGGAGCCATCCTTCCAGCGCTGAGACAGAAATGTGTGAGCTGGAGGCTTAAAAAAAAAAAAGCCAGCTCACACTAACTCCGCTTAGCTGGTACACTGCCTGGGAGGGCAGCCGTCAGATCTCCTGGTGTTGTTTAGTGGACAACAGGTGGCGGGGTTGCCAACTTCCAGGCAGTGGCTTGAGATCTCTGGGGTGACAGCTGATTTCCAGGGGACAGAAATCAGTTCCCCTTTAGGAGGGTGGGCTCTGTGGCCGTATACCCTGCCGAGGCCCCCTCCCCTGCCTTCCCTGGGCTCCACTCCCAAGACGTCTCGGTGTTTCCCAACCCAGCCTGTTTTAGGGCCGCAGCAATAGATGGTGTGTGTTTAACTGTTCGCCCACCAAACACGAGGCGTGCCCCCTCCCCAATACCGCCTCCTGCGTGCCCCGCGAGCCCCCCAGAGAATGCTGCCCACCCCCTCTCCAGGCTTGAGTCCAGCGGCACCTTTAAGACCAACAGCGGCACCTTTAAGACCAAATTCTGGGTATCCGCTTTCAGGTTTGTTGCGTGGACACAGGAGCTTTTTACCCAGGATAAAACTCTGTTCCTCTTGAAGGTGCCCCCGGGGTCAAACTTCGTTCTGCTGCTGCTTCCCACCTGGGTCTCTCTCTCTCTCTCTCTCTCTGTACCTGCTCTGAAGTGGCTTCCGGACAGGGAGGACAAAGAAGAAAAAAGGGGAAAAAACTGAACCTAAACCTAGAATTCAGAACCTTAAAAGGTTAGTCAAGAATAGAGGAGGGCCAACTCAAAAAATCTAATTATGAAACATACAAAAATATACATGTATTTATTCAACACAAATTAAAATAACAAACAAGGGCGCATTCCTACCTCATATACAAATATAAAAACATACAAGGGCTAATAAGATAGACCAACGCGTTTCGGCCTTTACAGGCCTTCCTCAGAGGTCTAATACAGACAGAACATGTTGGCTGATATGCACAAATACACACAATCATACATATATGGAATAAAGACCAGAAACCAATTGTTCCAAAGTTTAACCACTGGGCAAAGAAATACAAAAATACAAATGAAGCCTCCAGTGCAATCACATGTCCAGTAGTACTTCTCTCTGGTCAACTGTATATTCTTCTGAGATTGTGCAGCCAAATACATGTATATTTTTGTATGTTTCATAATTAGATTTTTAGAGTTGGCCCTCTTCTATTCTTAACCTTTTTAGGTTCTGAATTCTGAACAGGGAGCACATCCAAAGCAGGCGCTCACACAGGTCATAGTGGGGAGGGACTCCTCCAAAGGGCAGCGGGTAACGTTTAATTTTACATGACACTAAAACTAAATGGTTTTATGCCCAGGAGTGGGGTGTGTGCCTCTGGTTTAATCCACCAAAGAGGCTTGTCCCCTGGCCAAAGACCACATTTCACGCAGTTGGATGTTTCTTTCCCCTTTTCTTTAACTGGTAGCTGCTTAGCTCTTTCCTTAATTAATATGTGTGTGTGTCCCCCACTCTAGTGTGTGTGTGTGTGTGTGTGGGATCCCTGCATCTTTTCCCCAGTGGGAGGGTAAGCAGCCAGGGGGCAGCGATTTGGAGTACAGACAGGAATCAAAAGGCTTAAACAGCCCCTCCTCTGCTCTTATGGTGAGTGGCCAGGAGCACAAACTCTAAACTGGGAGAACCGGGTTTGATTCCCCACTCCTCTGCTTGCAGCTGCTGGTGTGACCTTGGGTCAGTCACAAGTTCTCTCAGAGCTGTTCTCTCACGGGCAGTCCTCGAAAGAGCTCTCTCAGCCCCACCTCCCTCACAGGGTGTCTGTTGTGGGGAGGGGAGGGGAAAGGGCATTGTAAGCCACTCTGAGACTCCTTTACGTAGTGAAGGGTGGGGCATAAATCCAATCTCCTCCTCTTTTCCTCCTCCTATTGGTGGCATCCAACGCTGCTTTCCAGCTTAAACATGCCCAAACTCTTACAGTAAGGTTGCCAACCTCCAGGTGGTGGCTGGAGACTTCCTGGGATCACAACTGGTCTCCAGGCGACAGGGATCAGCTCCTCTGGGGAAAGTGGCGACTTCGGAAGGTGGACTTTCTACAGCCTTATACCCCAACGGAGGCCCCTCCCCTCCCCAGACGCCATCCCAGAACTCTCCAGGCGTTTCCCAACTCGGAGTTGGCAACCCTGCTCTTACAGGTCTGTCTCCTTCCGACCCAGAGGAGCACCAAATATGGAGCAGCGAACAGAGGGAGAGAAGCCTCAGCATGACAGGGACACTGGGGGCGCCCTTGTCCCCAAAGGACCTGACGGTGTCCTTGCAGGGGAGAGGCAATAGGTGGAGGGAGGGAGGCGACTGCAGAGGGAATGGGCCTCAAGGGGTGTGTAAAGCACACAAAAGCATGCCCACCTTCCCAGGCAATGAGGGGTCTCTCTGCTTTCTCCTGGGGCAGGCCTGCGGAGCCAGCCATACCGGCGGGGGGACACTGGCCGGCACAGCGGCAGGAAACGGATTGTCGGGCAGACCCTGCAGGTGACCGCCGACATCTCGCTGTGAGGACCGCGCAGGGAGAAGAGCCAGCCCTCCGAGCCTGGGTGGAGGGGGGCGATGGGTCGGCGGCCGGCAGGCCCGGGCCCAGAAGCTTTTCTCGCCGAGGGCCGGAGGGGGTCGGGGCAGAACCGCCTGCCTCCTTCGCCCCCTCCCGCCTCCTCCTCCGCTTCGGAAACCACCCGTGGGCTTCTGCGCGCACCCGCCAGCGCTGCCCCTCACACTGGATCGACGTGGCTTCCTTTTGAACTGTGCATCCTTGGCCCGCCTGGACTGACCTAGAATGGAATCGGGGCAGAGGTAAGAGGCTCCCGCGGCGTGCCACAGCCCAACAAGGCAGCCGAGCGGTCCAAAGGCAGCTCCAGCGGCTAGCGACGCCACCACCCGCCTCCCGCAGCCCGGCAAGATCCAAGTGGCCGCCTCCCCCCCACCAAGGACGACAGCGCCTCCCTCTCTCTCAGCCTTCCTACCCAGCCGGCCTCGGTTCCTTTTCCTGTCTCGTTTTGCAAAAATCAGGATTCTCCTTTAATCATCTTCCAGTCCCGAGAGGTTTCAGAAATGCGGGGATCTTTGGGGCCAGGTCCTTCTGTGGGCCGTGAACAGCCGCGTTTTATTGCTCTAGCGGCTGCTCAGGCGCTCCCAGAGTTCATGAGCCAGGAGGGCACATACCCTCGGGCTTCCGTCAGCCGTGCACCTGAGTCTCTTGCGGAGGCCGGGAAACACCCGGAGCTCTGGAGTGGTTTGGCCCCAGCGAGAGAGAGAGCTGCGTTCTTCTCCACTTGCAGCATCTAGCCACTCACGCTCCCGCCTCCAGGCCTGCTGTTTCCTGAGAGTGGAGGATGCCCCGTTCGCCAGCCTCCCGTCCCACCATGTGTTTCTATAACCCTGCCCTCCTCCTCCCCCTCTTTTTTGCCTTTTGTGGTTCACAAACCAAGGGCAGTTGTTGTCCATCAAGTGGCCTGCAATTAGACGGGACTGCTGTCCTCCCATCCCCTTTGCTCTCTTTCCAGGGCTGATGGCAACCAGGCGAATACACCTGGTGACTCTCTGGGTTAATCTCAGGTGGAGCACGGCCACTCGGGAGTGAAGTCCGGGGGACGCAAGTCCTCCGATTGGGGCAGTGGGATATTCCACGGGAGGCTTCGACTAATCCCGGCCTGTCGCTCTCACCGATCGCTTCGGCCCCCGGGAAGGCCGGCCTGGTCACAGGAACGTAAGTCGTTGGCAGGGCTGTTCCTTTGGCACTTTTGAAAACCGTCTTGCTCTGAGGCAAGAAAGCGTAAAGGCTTTGAGACAATCAACCGGGGTCCCGGAGTTGCTGTTCTTTCTCCTGCCACAGGGGGTCACCCTTTCTGTGGCTTTCCCACCGGTGCTTTCCTTCCACTTTGCAGGGAAGGTTCTTCTGGGCATGCTCCCCTTTGGGGGGGGGGGGAATCGGTGCATCTCAGAACTTTCCTCCAAGTAGCCAAGGAGTGCTCACATCGCCGTAGCACACACTGTAGTCAGCGTCCAAGAGCCACGATGGGCCATCCGTAGGATGGACTCAATCTGCTGCTGCATTCTCCCATGCTGTAAACATAGCCACTCATGCAACCCAGTTGCCTGAAGATTTTCTGTTGCAACTGACACCACACTTAGAAGACAGGCAGTCCTGTCTGTTGCAAGTACGACAGCAAGCCGGGCGGGCACCTGAGAAGCTGCAGCGGTCCCGCTCCCGGTAGAACTCCCCTTGTGGTGCCCGCCTGCTCATCGAAAGGTTCCTGGCACTCGACTGCAGAAACCAGGCACTGCCTTCTTTCGTGTTAGACATTGGCCCATCTCTTGCCGATGGGCAGAACAGCACAGTCATCTGTTACAGTCCGACCAACCATCCCTGGGCACAGACACAAGCCCCTAGGCACAGTTTGAGCCAGCGGAGGATAGCGGCATGCAGTCCAGTGCAGCAAAATTGCACTTGCTGCAGCAATAAGGGCATACTGCAGCAGAAACATGCCCCCACCGCCACCCTTCCGATCCATTTAACCCAAACGCCTCCACGGTGAAGGTGAGGCACCCCCCCCCCCCCTTCCATTTCCTCACCCAGCTCTAGACTGAAAGCACACACTTGCTTATAAGCCACCCTGTGCAGCTTATGCTTCCCCATTGCTTTTCTGCTCTAACGTAAAACGCAGCTAAACCGTCCAGCGTAGCGGCACCCGCACACGCATCGCTCCATGCCGGGGGGGGGGAGGGAGGGGCTGCTAGAAGGAGAATTGAATGTGCAACTTATTCTGTTTTTAGAAATGCCTTGAATCATGTAGGGAGAGGACCACAAAGCCCTATTTGATTGCTACTTTGTATACATTATTTTTATATATGGTTATGTGAATGGCATTTAATCCAAAGCAAAGATGAAAAGTGACAATAATAAATGCGTTCTGAAGGTGCAAGCAGTGGCCTGTAGGTATGTGCCGGCTGCCTGCTCATCGGGCAGAGGGATTTCATAAATGTCGTTCTGCTTTTTCAAGGGTGCCTCTAACTCCCGCTTTGTGACTACCAAGGAGTCCCCATGGATGGAACCCCCTTGTGAGCTACCCCATGGTCTTGAGAGTCAGGTTACCTCCAAGAGCTCCCTCAAGCCCAGCGCCTGGGAAAGAGGGGATTGGGCCCTCTGTCACAAAGGCGGAGATGCAAAGCTGCTCTTACGACAGCGATAGGAAATCCTTGACTTGGTCGTGTCGCATTTTGCAAGCAGATGCCATGTGCAGACTTCACATTGCCCTACTGCGTACAAAAAGCAGAAGTCTGACCACACCCGTAGCTGCCTGGATATTCACTGCACAAATGACCCTTCACAGGGAAGACGGGGTGCCCTAGGTCAGACAGCTCAAAAAAAAGGGCCATCAAACCAGTTCACAGCAGGCAGCTCCATTACCAGGCAAGACAAATGTGGACAAACACAACCTAATCAGAGAACCAGTATAAAGAAAACAGTCATGAGTGTCGGAGCCACAAATCAGGCAGTCAACAAGACTATGTATTTCAGTCTGAAGCACTACAACACAATAAATCAATTCCTACAAATCATAAGAAAATCCTAGTGCAAAGGTACATCGTCAGCGTCGTCTCCGGATTATATAACGTTTCAAAATTGGATCTTCCTCAGGAAATGTTAAAAGGTAAAGGTTCCCCTTGCTGGAAAGCCAGTCGAGTCCAACTCTAGGGTTGCAGTGCTCATCTCCGTTTCCAAGCTGAAGAGCCAGCGCTGTCCGAAGACGTTTCCGTGGTCATGTGGCCAGCATGACTAAACACCAAGGCGCACGGAACACTGTCACCTTCCCACCGAAGTGGTACCTATTTATCTACTTGCAATGTCTTGCTTTCGAACTGCTAGGTTGGCAGGAGCTGGAACTAGAGATGGGAGCTCACTCCATCATGCGGCACCCGGGTCTCGAACTGCTGAACTACTGACCTTCCACAGCCTGCAGTTCAGCGTCTTAACCACTTGTTAATGTTAGAGTGGTACAAAAATTATCTTGTTCATAAAGTGCTTTACAACAAGTCATGAAAGATAATACAGATAGGATGCTGATCTCAGTAAATGTTCAGGCTCAAGTATGCTGCTAAGCTTCTAATGGATCCTAGGCCGCCTAGGGTAACCCCATGGACTTGACGAACAAGAGAACTTTTGTACTACTCTGACATTTCCTGAGGAAGATCCAATTTTGAAACGTCGTTATATAATCCGGAGATGACGTTGATGACGTACCTTTGCACTAGGATTTTATTATGATTTGTAGGAATTGTGTTGTAGTGCTTCAGACTGAAATACATAGTAAGCATTTTCTTTGCAAGTCTTGTTGACTGCCTGATTTGTGGGTCAGACACGACTGTTTTCTTTATACTTGATCTCCATTACCAGGCAAGCCAGCCACTGGGTCACTTCAGAGTACCACAGAAACAGGCACCCTGAACAATAGACGCCTGCTATCTTCACAACCTGCTTGGGGTAGTCTTGGGAGCTTCTGGCTCACCTCTATTGAGCCAAGATGCGGCATCAGACAGGCCTGTATCCTGACCCAGCATGAGGCAATGGTAACTTGCAGCCTACGGGGGCTATACTAGGGCCCCATCAGATTTTTATTCAAAGGTGGCCATTTTTTGCTCATACTTCACTCTAGAAAGGATACCAGAGAAGAACGCACACTTATTTCATGTGGACATGTCTGGGAGAAGCAAAAGCCGGTTGCCACGGTGCTTCTTAAGAGGAGCTGGTGTGTTTCTTCCTCCACGCCTGCTCCCCGTCGATGACTTTATGGCCAGGACCTTCAACCCCGGCATCAGGAGACTCCAGCTGAGGCTCGGCTCCTGGAGAGCCACTGGGTTGTTCTGGCTGCCTCAGGGAGGACCTGCTCTTGGTAAGCCTGAGCAGATGTGCAGCTCCTCCAGAGAAGCAAGGTGAGGCCACATCCTGGTGGAGGGTTCTCCCACCTTGGCTTGTTCCTTGCTGATAGGCTGGGCCGCTTGCCTCTCTGCTGCTCACCCTGCCTGGCCTGGACAGTGGTGGGGTCAAAGGGCGGTGATGTCACATGAGCGCCTGTCACATGGCTGGGATCCAGCCTGGGTTGGGAACTACTGCCTTGCGGCATCTTCTGGTGGGCCTTCACTGTGGCCTCGTTCCAGCCCGCAAGCTGAACGGACGGGTCTGGGCTTAATGTTGGGAATCCCTTTTTCCCAGAACCACCCCCATTTTCAGAGACCAGGTCCTCGACACACCAAGGAAGAGAGTGGCGGCAGCGGCTACGAGCATGGACAGCTTCAAGAGGGAACTGGATAAGCATGTGGAGGAGAAGTCCCTCAGTGGCCATTAGCCACAAGTCTGGGGCAAGGGATGCTTGGGGGGGGCAACAGTGGGAGGGCTCCTAGTGTCCTGGCCCCACTGCTGGACCTCCTGATGGCACCTGGTATTTTTGGCCACTGTGTGACACAGAGTGTTGGACTGGATGGGCCATTGGCCTGATCCAACATTGGCTTCTCTTATGTTATATTGTTATATGGAGGAGAAATCTATCAGTGGCTATTAGCCACAAGGTATAGACAGGAACTCTCGGTCTGGGGCAAGGGATGCTCTGTCTTCTTGGTGCTGGGGGGGGGGCAACAGTGGGAGGGCTTCTAGTGTCCTGGCCCCACTGCTGGACCTCCTGATGGCACCTGGTATTTCTGGCCACTGTGTGACACAGAGTGTTGGACTGGATGGGCCACTGGCCTGATCCAACATTGGCTCCTCTTAGGTTCTGAAGTACAGGGCAGTTCCTGTCCCCATCATGTCCTGCTTGTTGAGACACCCCCCCTCCCAAACACACTCCTGCCCCGTCTCCTGCCTCTCTTGCCATGCAGGCTGAGAAGAGCAGGATGAGGACCTTTAGCAGTGGAGGGTTTTCTCCCCTTGGCTTGGTCCTTGCTGTGATGCGTCTGCTCGCCGCCCACAATGGGATTCAGCAGAATAAGTAACGGATGGATCTATGTGTGCTAAATACATGTCAATATGTTCCCTGGGCACACAGACACACACGATACCGAATCAGACCCTCAGTCCATCAGGGTCAGCCTGGTCTGCTCAGACTGGCCGCGGCTCTCCGGCGGAAAGGTCTTCCAGATCACCTCCTGCCAGATCCTTTACCTGGCGATGCTGGGGATTGAAGCTGGGACTTTCTGCATGCCAAGCGGTTCTGTTGTCTCTGCCCACCGCCACCCTCTCACGGGGACAGTGCAGAGACGAGGGCAAAGGGTAGCCGATCTGCTGCATTTTAAATGCCGGGAGGAGCTTGCTTTTTGTAGCCACTCTGCCGGTCAGGCTGGTGGAATCATTCAGTGAGCCCCAGCGCTGGGCAAGCAAGGACAGCTAGGAAAGTCCGTTCCCCCGCCCCCCACCCCTAGTTGGCACAGAGCACAAGGGCCGAGCAGCTGTGGAGAAGAGGACTGCGCTTCCAAAAGAGGACCCGGCAAAATGAACGGTCATCGTCACGCTCGAACAAACTCTTGCACGGAGGCATTTGGACAGTGCCCCCTTTTCCTTGACAGGAGAATGGGCTGTGATCGTTGCACAAAGGAAGAGAACTGTAGTGTATTTTTATTGCTGTGTGATTATTGCACAGGCTTGATTTCCCACAAGAGTTTACTTTCGAAATCAGTCCCCCCCCGGGGAGGGTGCCTCTTACACACAGAAGCAGGCGAGAGTTAAGTCAGGTGCCGCTGTGACCAGGAGGACCCAGGGCCGTCCAGGCGGTCTGCCTGTTGCTTCCCTCTGCACAGCGCCCCCCCCCCCCGGGTCTTCCTTGGTGGGCTCCCATCCAAATACTAACCACGGCTGATCCTGCTTAGCTTCCCAGCTCTGAGGAGCCTGGCCCCCACTGGGCTATTTGGGCTGCTGCAGCTGTGAGAGACTACCAGGAACCAATGGGACCGGTGTCTGACTGACATTTCCTAGCTGGGGGAAACTAAGTGCCAGGGAACCTCCTCTATAACCCATGTTATCCTATTTTCCTCCAAGGAGCTCAGGGTGGTATATGCAGGATTCCTAGATCACCCCCCCCCCTCCATTTTATCCTCAGAATAACCCTGTAATGTAGGTCAGGCTGGGCCAGGGATCTGAACCCAGGACAGCCCCGTAGCTAACAACTTTTTTCTCAGGGGGCCTGCCATCAGGAGAAACGTTCCCTCCGTTACGTCCCCTCCCTCCCCCCTCCTCCCATGCTGTTTCTGGCATGATCCTCTCCGCTCCTATGCAGAGAAGCAGCACTATGCCTGTGGGGTGTGTGTGTGTGTCAAATATCTATAACTCTCACTTTCCCCCCCATTCTTGCTGATTACAAGGGGGTGGGAAGGGAAGCCTGAAGCCACGAAGGCTGGCGGAGTCAGGGAGAGAGAAGCACAGCGGGAGTCACCCGAACCTGCTGATGCTGTCAGAGCACCGAGCAGCCTGCTGCAACAGGCGGCCCCGGGCAGGAGCAGAGAGTGAGTGGCCGGCTGCATTGGCCACCGCCTATGGTACTCGGCGTGGGCTCCTGGACACCAGTGGGGAAGTCGGTGGGGCTGAGCTCTTGGTTAAGTAGGCCAGAGGAGCTGATGCTTTGCAGCTGGCCAGGGAGGCTCGCAGGTCCCTGGAGGAGGGGGGAGGGAGGGGAAGTCGAAGATTGGGGAAGGGCCCATAAAAACCTTGGGGGGGAAGCAGGCCCCTTGGGCCCTGTGGTAGCTACGGGCCTGACCCAGGCCATGCCCATCGAAGGCCAGCACTCCAAGCCCTGTGTCACAGGAGTGACAGCGACACATCTCCTACCAGATTCTGGCCTCTAGAAGAGAGCATAACTGTAAGATATTTCCCGTCTTTGGGGATAAGGAGGCTTTCTGACTTCCACAGACCGGGTCGTCAGTACTTCCCTTGAGACAGGTAGAAGACGCTGGGGTTAGGAAACCAGAGGCCTGTCTGGGAAACCGCAGAGTGGTGGTGTCCTTCCAGAGGGTTCCTGGATCAGGGTCCAGCCATTTCACATGTCTGTTCGCTGGAGCTCAGAACCTCCCTCTCTCTTACGCGAGTGGACCTGACGCAGTCAAAAAGCCAGCAAGGGATGGCGCCTCTACGTCTAGCTAAAGTGCCACACACGCACGCACACACAGCCACCAGGTGCTGACCGACCTCCAGTCATCCCTCCTGGATGCAGGGGGGACCAAGGAAGGGAAAGAAGGCGCCGGCACCCCTAGGACCGGATCTCCAGCTGCCCCCGCCTGACTCTCCATCGCCAGCCAGAGCTGCAGTCGGGAGCCAGAATGCACTGGAGCTCGATGCCTGAATCGGGGACCTCCACGTCACAATGAACCGGCTGGCCTTCCTTGGTGAAAAAGCTGAACGGAGAGGCTGGGATCTGGGAAAACAAAAAAACAAAGGACGATCCCTGTCACTGGCGCTGAAGAAGCATCTGGCCTCTTGCATGCCCCTTGTGCCTTGCCATCGGCCAGGGAGAGAGCAGTGGCCCCCTCCCCCCCCCCCCCCCTCCCAAGAGCCCCATTTCCCGGCAGCCCCGCAGGCCTGCGGCAGCACAACCCTCACCTGGCTGCTGATCCCAGTGGCCACCTGTCCCACCTTGGCTCCACGGAATTCACGGATATGGAGAGCCTCCCCGCTGAGCAAGTGGATCTCAATTTTCACCCCTGAAAACAGACACTGTTTGAGAACAAAGCACCCAGCCCAGAGGCCCACGGGAGGAAAAACTCATCCCTTCGGCTGTCCTGCTGGCGGGGGTGAGTGACCAAACCCACAGTCCCATCTCTTTAAGCAGAGGGAGAAAGAATGGATTGCGGAGAGAAGACCTGAGCTGTCTGCCACGGAGACGTCCAGCAATGCAGGCCAGAAACATGCTAAACATGCCTGACAGGGAGTCCAAAGACCCAGAAGGAGAGAGATACCAGGAATGAAGGAGTAACAGGATGATGTGGCCTTTGGTAGATTAGAAACAGTCTCACCCAGAGGTGTCGAACTCATTTGTTACGAGGGCTGGATCTGACGGAAATGTCACTTTGTTGGGCTGAACCGTGTGTGTCATAAAACATAATGGCAAGTACAGGAGATATAAACCGTAAGGACAGCAGCTGGTAAGCTCCAAGTTGGTGTATCCTCAATGCAAGCCCCTCATGCACAGCCAGTGGTGCAGCACTGGACAGATGCTCCTACACTGCCTGACTGCTGCAAAGTTTTTCCGCCATGCTGAAGCTACAATCGGGGTGGCTCCGCCCACTCCCCTGAGCAGTCTCCTGTTCCCTCCCTTACACTAGATGCTTGCAGGCCACATAAAAGCCCTGGATGGGCCCAATCCGGCCCCCGGCCCTTAAGTTTGACACCCCTGGTCTAACCCATATTGGTGGATAGGGGTTGGCGCCAGGTTTGAAAAGGGTCCAGGGATGGCAAGAACATCCAGCTAAATACGGAAATGAAGACACGTTCAAAGACTGGCATTGGCTGAGCGTCAACAGGTACTCATCTCTATGAAAAACTTGTAACCATTATTTCTAACGTATCTTCTTGAAACATATAACAACTATCTGAGAATAGATAACTTTCTATGGGGCTTGAATTTATGTGGCCATTAGATCAAGACGGATATGTGAAGAAGTGAGCAGTGACTCCTAAAAGCTTCTAGGTAAAGGTAAAGGTTTCCCTTGCTCGAAAGCCAGTCGAATCCGATTCTAGGGATCCGGTGTTCATCTCGATGCTGAGGCGCACTGAACGCTGTTACCTTCCCACCGAAGCGGGACCTATTTATCTACTTGCAATTCCTTGCTTTCGAACTGCTAGGTTGGCAGGAGCTGGGGCCAGAGACGGAAGCTCACTCTGTCACGTAGCACTCGGGTCTCAAACTGCCAAACTACAGACCTTCCCGTCTGCAGGTCAGCATCTTAACCTCTAAGCCACCACAGCCCCATGAAAGCTTCTCCCCTGCCACAAATTCTGTTAGTCTTTAAGGTGCTCTTGGACCCTTGCTCTTTTGCATAAGGCAATTAGTTAAGCAAAAACGTATACCTTTATGAAGTGGGAAGACGGATCTCGAAAACCTATAAACACGAGGATCTGAACTCATGATCAGCTGCTTCTCAGCAGGGGCTCTTTGCCGGTGACCTGCTTATCATTGGGTACGGCATCTGAATGAACTCGAGAGATTCCTCTCCTTTAATTATTTGTTTTTAAGTCCATGTTACAGATGCAGATATTTATGATGAACCAGAAATATGAAACAAAGATTCTCTAATAGCATTACTTGTGTAAAAAAAGGTAAAGGTTCCCTTGCTCGAAAGCCAGTCGAGTCCGACTCTAGGGTTGCGGTGCTCATCTCCGTTTCAAAGCCGAAGAGCCAGCGCTGTCCGAAGACGTTTCTGTGGTCATGTGGCTGGCATGACTAAACACCAAGGCGCACGGAACACTGTTACCTTCCCACTGAAGTGGTACCTATTTATCTACTTGCAATTTCTTGCTTTCGAACTGCTAGGTTGGTCTATGGCCATACCACCCTGAACATGCCCGATCTCGTCTGATCTCGGAAGCTAAGCAGGGTCGGGCCTGGTTAGTACTTGGATGGGAGACCGCCTGGGAATACCGGGTGCTGTAGGCTAGGTTGGCAGGATCTGGAACTAAAGACGGGAGCTCACTCCGTCATGCAGCACCCCTGGGTCCACAGCCTGCAGTTCAGCGTCTTAACCACTGGAGGCACCGCAGCTCCTATTACTTGTGTACTGTGCCCAAAAATGAACCAAATACCCAGCTAAGGTGTACTTCTTGTTGGGAGGATAAATGATTGCATCTAGGAAAGTGGACTAGCTACCCTGGGGCTTCTTAAGCGCACACCTGTCTCTGAACCAGGCCTGATGCTGAGGCTGCCTTCTGAAGTGCCTGCAGCCAGGGGGAGCGCCGGGCAGGCACCCTGGCAGAAAGTGCCCCATCGCAGGGCAAGACCAAGGAAGGAAGCTGAAGGTGGGGGGATGGGAGTTTGGAGACAGAAGAAGGAAAGGGCTGCAGAAAAAGAGGAAGCAGAAGGGGTCCAGATGCAGATCGGATCTCAGGGGGCCTGGTGCAAAACACGTTATCGGGGGGGAATGGGGTTCTTGGATTTCCCCCCACATAGGAACTATATAAGGGGACATGGTTTTTGAATAATGTGATGGAGATCCAACACACCTCGGCAGGTTCACGGGCCCGTTAACCCCCCTGCTGCCGTTGCACCGCTCTGGTCAGGAAAGAGGTTTCATTAAAGCCCACGCAGCAGAGGACAACCGTCGCCCCACTGGGGCAAGCTGGAGGCAGCTGCCCCCCTTGCCTTAGGGGTTACAACTCAAGACACTGTTGTCTGGAGAGGTCGCCGGGCATTCAACGGCCTCGTGGAGGCTGCCCGGCAATCCTGGAGGCAGGGCAAGATCAAGAGAAGCCCCTCGCATTTCGTTTGCCAGGGAACACGGGTCCTACCGTCCAAGGAAGGCGGCGTCTCCGTCGGTCTGCTGCGATGCAGCCAGCTGTTCCAGCTGTGGCTCTGCCCGTTTGGCTGGCTGCTCCACGAATGCACGCCCGAACTCATGGTGTCCTTCAGGCTGAGAGAGAGTGCTTTCATCGAGCCCTGGGGAAGGAGAGGAAACGCGGTCTCTACAGCGGCACACCACGCAGCTCAACCTTCTTCGTCTCTCTCTTCCGCCATCCTCCTCCTCATCCCCTGCAGCCCTTTCTCATATCTACAGACACCTGACCCCCACCCCCACCACCTTGGGGAGGAGGGGGGGACCCTGAGCCACAGAGGCAGCCGTATGGGAAACGGGTTCTGCCACAAAGCCCTTCATAATGCTGTGTTCCTGGCATTCATAATGTTGTTCCCGTGTCTTTTCTGCATACGTGAATTCTCATGAATGGCTCTGAGGGGTGGGGGAGTGGGTGAGAGGGAGGGAGGGAGGGACTGTCAGAACGGGGGGGGGGGAATGGGCCTGTTCTTCAGATGTGCCTAGTTGGACCAGAGAAGGAAAGGGGTCTTTGGTGTTAAGATGAACTACTCAGCCAGCCCCACTCCTCCACTCGCACCTGGCTTGATGACCTTGGGCAAGCCGTAGTTCTGATAAGAGCTGTTCTTGGAAAAGAGCAGTTTCTGTCAAGAGCTCTCTCGGCCCCAGCTACCTCACAGGGTGTCTGTTGTGGGGAGGGGGAGGGAAAGGAATTTGGGTAGTGAAGGGCAGGGTATAAATCCAATCTCTTCTTCTCCTCCTCCCATTGCTGGGAAGAAGCCTACTGGCCAGCATTCCGCCATATGAGGGGCGGGGGTCCTCTCACACAGCCAGCCCAGGGCACGGGGACTTATTTCCGGAGACAACCACCCCACTCCCATCAGGCCTGGGTATGCTAACAGGGCCGCTTGAGGGCTGAAGAAAGACAGCAGAGCCACGCCTGGGACCCTCCCCAGTCCAGGCTGAGTGCTCAAGGAAGCCACAGCAGAACCGGTATCTCTGGAGGGGACCGCTCCCTGGAGAGGCACAGATACCTGAGAAGAGCCCGGGAGAATCGGCCGGAAGGGATGTGGCCAAAGCTGGAGACAGGCATGCGGGGGGATGGGGGGATGGGACAGGCACGGGGTCCAGGGCCAGCAGCCCCAGGTCTCCTCCTCCAGTCCTCCATGGAGTCTACTGGTAGCCAATGAAGGAGAGAGATGAGTAAAGTATGGTGAGAAGGGGGACAGCCTCCCGGCTGTATGACTGGGGAAGGGGTTCTGAGGGGCTGCTTGTGGTTTTCGGCCTTGAACTCCCTCGTGGTGGATGCAGCACACTGGCTTCCGCATCTTGCTTGCAGGAACAACACTTTGAGGTGTCGGGGTGAGGATAAACGCTAGCAGGACTCCCGCGCTGAGCTATTCCCCCACCCCAGAGCCACGAAGTGTTCCCTGGGGCCCCGGGGCCAAGGTAGGGCCCGGCCTCCCCGCTGCCTGCATACTTGCCTTGTCGCTGGCATCCGGCAGGAGGGGACTGCCCAGGCTGAGGCACGAAAGGATTTGCTCCTGCTCCTCCAGGCAGACGGGATGAGCCAGGCGGTTCAGAACCAGCTCTGTGGGGGACAGAGAGGGGGCCAGTGTGGGAGAGAGGCACCAAGGGCCCAGAGCACCGATACATCCCTGCCTCTTCCTGCCGTGAGTTGAACTGAACGAGAGTCACCTTGGCTCGGCTTCCAGGCTGGTTAGAAGGAGCGAGAGCCCCCATCCTCCCCATCAGTCCCCATGCAAAGTGTCAGGGGAGTCCAGTCCGGCTCTGAAGTCTACTAGGAACCAATGGTCCCTGGCGGTTAAAGGAAACCTCGCCTATGACCTGAAATTAGGGATCCCAAGTCCCCCTGGGGGGCGGGGAAACCCCCACCCCAGAGGCCCGTTTCCCGGCGGCGCCAGATCGGGCCCCGGGGGGAACTCCTCCCCAATGTGCGCGTCACCCGGAAGTGACGGGAGGATGCCGGGCACGCTGGGGGTGGGGCCATGGCCATACAAGGGAAAACTATGGTTTTCCCTTGTATGGCCATG